CCTGTGGCTTTGGGGCCTGGTTGGCTGAGGCCTGGGGAGGGGAGGGGGGCTGGGAGGGGGCCCAGCACCAGGGTCTCCGGGGACGTGGGGACCCCGGGATCCGAGGCCCGTGCGCCCCAGGCCAGCTGCATTGTGGGTAACGAGGCGCGGGGTTCGAGGACTGGAGACCATGGCCATGGGTGAGGCCCAAAGTGACCGGCAGGTCCCCAGCCACAGGCCAGGTGGCGACCGGCTCCGAGGATTGGGGGGAGTTTGGGGGAGCTGGCGGGACCCCCACACGGGGGTTTCTAAGGCGGGGGGTGGGGGGTGGGGAACGTCCGGCCCGCGGGCCGGGTAAGGCCCCCGAAATCCCTCGGTCTGGCCCTGCCAAGGCGTCGGGGGTCAGTCCGTTAAGTGTTGGGCCAAGTCCGGCGGCGCCTGTTTTTTAAAAATATTTGTATTGATTTCCGAGAGAGAGAGGGAGAGAGAAACATCCATGAGGAGAGAGGACCGCGGACCGGCTGCCTCCTGCTCGCCCCCTGCTGGGCGTCGACCTGCAGCCGGGCCTGTGCCCTGACCGGGAATCGAACCCCAACCTCCTGGCTCCGGGCTCCTCAACGGCTGAGCCAGGCCGGCTGGCGAGCAGGCTCCTGTTTAAGGGGCCCTTGTGTGTGGCCCGAGAATGAGGTTATAAATGTCCAAAGGGGCAGGAAAAACGCACCCCACCCCTGACCTAGGGGGTGCTCGTCTGGGGACCCCAAGGGCAGGGCGAGGAGACCCGGGTCAAGCAGTAGCTCCCGGTCCACAGCCGTGTCCCCGGGCCGTGTCCAGGCCTCCGGGGGCCCCTCTCCTAGGGCAGCTGGGATTGCGAATTGGGGACCAGGACAGGACGGGACGGGGGGGGGGTCTCTGCTCAGGGGGTTGGAGGGCCTCAGCGCGACTCCCGGGGGCAGAGCCATGGACGCCAGGACTGGCGGTCACTTCCAGGTCTGAGATGTCCTCCCACGGGGAGGGCCCTGGGGAGCTGGGGTGGTTCGGGCCTTCGGAGGGTCCCCCATCTTCCACAGCGAGGGACAGGGAGGCTGGAGGGGTGACCCGGCCCGGGCGCTGCTCAGCCGGCTCCTCTCCTCGCCCGGGCCCAGCGCTGCCTCCCGCGTCCTGGCCCGTCCAGCGCACCCGCTGCGTCCCTCCTGGGAAGGACCGTCTGCCCGGCCCGGCCTGGCCCCCGTCGTCATCGGGAGCTGCAGGCCACTGTCCACAGATGAACCCCGACCCCAACAGGCCGAGAGCCGGCACCAAGTCCCGGAGGCACGCCCCCTGCCTGCCTAGCCTGACAGGTGAGCCGTGGGCCCGCCCGGTCTCAGCCATGGCCACCGCCCTGCCCTCCCTCCAGAGAGAGGTCCCCGGACGGACGGACGGACGGACGGATGGCTTAGCTCAGTGATGGCGAACCTCTGACACGTGTGACACGCGAACTCATTATTTTGGTTGATTTTTCTTCATTAAATGGCATTTAAATTTATAAACTAAATATCAAAAATATACGTCTTTGTGTTACTATGGTTGCGAATATCAAAAAATTTCTCTATGTGACACGGCACCAGAGTTCAGTGAGGGTTTTTCAGAATCCTGGCACGCCGAGCTCACAAGGTTCGCCGTCCCTGGCTTAGCTCCTCTCATCCTTGCGACCAGGACAGATATGTCATCTCCCCGCTTGCACCCCCGGGAAACGGAAGTGGGGGCTCCCCTTTGCTGAAGGCCACGGGCTCATAGAGAGGAAGGCCTGAGCTTTGCATCTGGCGGTTTGACATTTCGCTGCGGACCTGGGGCTCCCCTTGGCCGGGGCTCGGGGTGTGGCCTGGGCGCACGTGTGGTTTCGGGTCCGGCGCTGACACCGTCTCTGCCCTCTCGCTTCATCCCCTCCCGACGCCCCTTGGGGTGGACGGGCTCTGTTCTCAGCCTCACGTCCTCCTGGGCCCCTGCTCAGGGAGGGTGGCCTGGATGGAGGCTTTCCCACCCCATTACAAGGGGGGGGTGGTTCCAAGGCTGATCTTTAAAAAATATATTTTTTTATTGATTTCAGAGAGGAAGGGAGAGAGAGAGAGAGAGACACATCAATGATGAGAGAGAATCACGGACCCGGTGCCTCTTGCATGCCCCACACTGGGATGGAGCCCGCAACCTGGGCCTGTGCCCCAACCGGGAATCGAACCCGACCTCCTGGTTCATAGGTCGACGCTCAGCCACGGAGCCACGCCGGCCGGGCTGATTCGGGGATTTAAGCCCGTTCACACTCAAGAATGTCAATGCCCGTGTGGGAGCAGCGTTGTGGCCGCAGGGGGTGACCCCGAGGTCTCCCTCTTCCCACGCTTCCATCCCTGGCCGCTGGCGCTGAAACCCCTGAACCAGGCCCCGCATCCTTGTCTTCCCACTGAGCTTCCGAGGTCCCGGCGGGGCCGCGGGCCTGGAGGAGCGGCTTCTCAGAGCCGGGGTCCCCACTCCTCCCCCCAGGGTCCCTGCTGGTTCCTGGGGCTCCGGGCAGAGGGTGGGGAGGGGCTCTGCTCCCCGGCGGCGTCTCAGGGGGCAGCCGAGCCCCTTGCTCCCTCCCGGTGATGTCCCTTTGCAGGATTGCGCCAGTCGGAGAGAGAGGCCTACCAGTCCATCCTGAGGTTCCTCCGACCCGGAGAAATGGTGAGGGCGTCTTTGGGGACGTTTCCTTTCGAGAGCTGAGCCGGGAGCAGGAAACAGAGGCCGCCTCCTGGGTTCTTGGGTGGTTTTTTTTGTTTGTTTTGGATTTTTTTAAATCCTTACCTGAGGGGATATATTTATATTTATATTTTTTATATTTATATTTATATTTATATTTATATTTTTTATATTTATATTTATATTTATTAGTATATATTAGTATATTTAATATTTTTTATTGATTTCAGAGAAGAAGGGGGGAGAGGGAGAGGGAGATAGAAGCATCTATGATGAGAGAGAATCAGTCATGGATCGGCTGCCTCCTGCACGCCCCCCACTGGGGATGGAGCCCGCCACCCGGGCCTGTGCCCTGACCGGGAATCGAACCCTGACCTCCTGGTTCACAGGTCGACGCTCAACCACTGAGCCACACCAGCTGGGTCTGAGGATATTTTTTCCATTGATTTTTTTTTTTTTTGAGTGAGAGTAGGGTGGGGCGGGGTGGAGAGAGAAACATCGATGTGAGAGAGAGACATCTATTAGTTGCCTCCCGCTTGCACCCTGACTGGGCTAGGGGATCAAGTTCGTAACGAAGGTACATGTTCTTGACTGGGAATCGAACCCGGGACCCTTTGGTCTGCGGGCCAACGCTCTAACCACTGAGCAATCTGGCCTTGGGTTTGGCCTAGGAGCCCTTGGCTGGGAAGCACCTGGGTGCAGCCTGTAGGCGCCTCCCCACCCGGGCGTGTGGGGTGGTCAAGACCCCAGACTGGTTGTTGCTCACAGACCCTGAGCCTGGGGCCCCGGGGGCGGCAGAGGGGCCGGGACCCTGGGGAGCGCCCGGCCGGGGGGAGTCAAGTGAGCACCCACACCTGCTGGTCTGAGGGGGGCTGGGCGTGAGCCTCCCAGGTGTGGCCGGGAGCAGGCGGGGGTCGGGGGGCAGACGGCTGCGTGCTCTGTCCTAGTCCGAGTTGGACAAGATGACGTTCCTGCGGGCTGTGGACACCCTGGCCGGCGCCGTCCGCGCCCAGGCCAGCGGCTCTATGAACAATTACATACCCAAGACCCTGCTGGCCAAGAAAATCGAGGTGAGGGAGGCCCGGCCCCGCTCCCCTGGGCGGGAGGTGGCCCCCTGGGCTGAGGGCGCAGGTCCCAGGCCTGAGGCCAGCGCCTCTCTCTTTCTCTCTCTCTCTCTCTCTCTCTCTCTCTCTGACGGGATCCCTGACTCTTCCCGGCCCTCCAGACCCTGATGCTGGAGGAGGGCGGCGGCGAGCTCTTGACCAGCAGCGTGCGTCAGCAGGCCATGCTCTCCATCGTGGCCCTGAGGTTCCCCCTGCGCCCCACTCCGGCCCCGGGGTCCCCCTGCTCAGAACACGGGGTTGGGAGGAAGGGCAAGGGTTTGGGGGTGTGGGTGTCAGGGCCCCATGACTGCCCCCTCACCTACCAGCATCCGGGGTAGGGGTGGGACCCCCGGTTCCACTACTGGGAGCCTTGGAGGATGTGGGTGTGGGGAGGGCTCTGAGGGGGAGCTCACGAGAAGGGTTTTGGGGTTCAGGACCCCATCGTTCCCTGTGCCCCCGAGACAGCAGCTGAGAAGGTCCCTCCGCGAGGTCCCAGGCCCCGGACCCGGCGCCCCCCACAGCCCCCCTGTCCTTCCCGCTGCCCCCCCCAGCCAGGTGGACCCCCCCTTCCACCTGGACCAGAAGCTGGACCTGGTGAACGCGGCCGTCGCCTGCGTGTTCTCGCTGCCGCTCATCGTGCCCAGCCAGAACCGGAAGGAGAGCGCCAGCCTCTACCTGCAGGTGAGCCCCCACCCCCTGGGGCGCCCCGACGTCCAGGCCGGCCCCAGCGCCGGCAGTCTTTCCACTGCACTGAGCTGCGTCTTAAATTCGTCTAATACGTGTGGGCTGCTTCCGTGGACTTCTTAAAACTATGTTTTTATTGATTTCGGAGGGGAAGGGAGAGGGAGAGGCAGAAACACCAACAGTTAGAGAGAATCGTGGACCGGCCGCCTCCTGCACGCCCCACACTGGGGATCAAGCCTGCAACCCTGGGAATGTGCCCTGACCGGGAATCGAACCCTGACCTCCTGGTTCATAGGTTGATGCGCAACCCCTGAGCCAGCCGGGCGGGCCACAGCCTCCGTCTCAAGAGCAGTCTAATGAGGAAACCCGGGTTCTTAGGCCTCGCGGATCATAGAATACCAAATCCTCCCGGTTTTTCGAATAGAAGTTCCCTCGATCCAGTGGAACGACTCCCATGGGGAGGGTCCCGGGGGCTGTGTGTGAGGGGAGAACCCCGACGTGCCCGCCTTCCGCTACTTGGCCGTCCTTTGGGGAGGGGGCCCGGAGCTCGGGGAGCCTGGAGTGTGGCGGCCGAGCTGGAAGGGCCCCCACTTTCTTGGCCCCTGAGGAGGGCCCGGGGGGTGGGGGGTTGCCCAGGAGCCGACGGGGACACCATGGCTGTCTGTCCCCCAAACCCCACGTGTCCTGTTTGTCAGACGGTCCAGGCCTTAGATGACATGCTGCAGGCCCTGGTGATGGACGGCCGGGACCCCAACATGGCCATGCTGCAGAGGATGCTGGAGGTGAGTGTCGGGGAGATCGGACAGGGACAGGGGACGGGCTGGGGGTCCCACCGGCCCAGGGGTGGGGAACCGTTTTTCTGCCGGGGAGCCTAGCCCCAAACAACGGGGCCCAGTCCCTAGCGTACCCCAGGGAGTCCAAATACCCATTTAGAGAGAGTGGAAGGGAGAGGGAGAGACAGAGAGAAACATCGATGTGAGAGACACACATCGATGGGTTGTCTTCTGCACGCGCCCCAACCAGGGCCCGGGCCGGGGAGGAGCCTGCAACCGAGGTCCGTGCCCTTGACCGAAATCGAACCCGGGACCCTTCAGTCCGCAGGCCGACGCTCTATCCACTGGTCCACACTGGCCAGGCCCATCTGTGTGTCTCTTTGGCCTTCTGTCGTCAGGGATGAGGGCTCAGGCCGAGGCGGGAGGGGCCGTGGACGGAAGGTGCTGACGCCCCTCCTCCCTCCAGATCGTCCTGCCGTGGCTCACGATGTCGGAGAAGGAGCAGGAGCAGGGCCGGGCGGCCTACACCATCTCCCACCTGCTGCGCTTCACCTGCAACTTCCCGGAGCTGTTGGTGAGCCAGGCGGGGCCGGCTCAGCCTGTGGCTCTGAGGGCGGCACCGGAGGGTGGGCAGGGCGCTGCTACTGCCCGGCTCGTGCCTTCTCTGCTCCTGGGGGCATTGACTGCGGCTGAGTGAGCCCCGATGGGCAGACACGTTGGTGGGGGGCCTTGGCCTAGACCCGTGGTCGGCAAACCGCGGCTCGCGAGCCACATGCGGCTCTTTGGCCCCTTGAGTGTGGCCCTTCCACAAAATACCACGTGCGGGCGCGCACGGACGGTGCGATTGAAACTTCGTGGCCCGTGTGCAGAAGGCGGTATTTTGTGGAAGAGCCGCACTCAAGGGGCCAAAGAGCCGCATGTGGCTCGTAAGCTGCAGTTTGCCGACCACTGGCCTAGACCTAGATCCACAGCTAATGGGTTTCAGGGGTTTTTTTTTTTTTGGTTTTGTTTTTATGGATTTCTTGTTTTTCTCTGTGTGTGTGTGTGAGTGTGTGTGTGTGTGTGTGTGTGTGGTTTTGGGTTTTTTTTTTTTTAATCCTCACCTGAGGACATCTTTCCATTGATGTTTAGAGACAGTGGAAGAGAGAGGGAAACCCAGAGAGAAACATATCCATTGGTCGCCTCCTGCACGCGCCCCGACCAGGGCCCGGGCCGGGGAGGAGCCTGCAACCGAGGTCCGTGCCCTTAACCAGGATCGAACCCGGGACCCTTGGTCCGCAGGCCGACGCTCTACCCACTGAGACACACCGGCCGGGCAGTTTCAGGGGTTCGGCTGCCCCATCTCCCTGGGGGCTGAGGCGGAAGGGCTCTCCCTGTGTGGAGCTGGCCAGGTGGGGGCTGCCTACGGGGTGGTGATTGAGTGAAGGTTGGGGAGGGGGCCGGCGGTCCTGGTGGGGAGACGCTGCCTCCAGAGGGTGCCCGGGGGACCGCCGCCGCCTCTTCCCGCAGCACCTGGCGGACTTCTCCATCAGCGGGAGGCTGATGGCCACCTTGGGCATCTTCTGCATGAGCCGCAGCCCCGACGCCAGTGCGGGGGCCTCGGAGGGGCTGCACTACCTGTTCAAGGTGTTAGTGCTTCACAGAAGTAAGTGAGGGGGGCCCCTGGGAGGTGTGGGGGGGCCTGTGACTGCAGCTGGGGGAACCCACTGACCCACCAGCCCAGCTCAGTGAGGGGCGGGTCCCGATGGCCAGGCACTGGCGAGCTTTTGCCGCAGGAACTCAAAACCCATGCCTGCTTCCCCCGACCCTGGGCCTGGGCGCGCTCCCCGTGCCGTTGGTCACACGTCCGTCCGTCCATCCGGATCTGAGTGGAGGGGCAGGGGCCAGGCTGTGCTCCTTCTCCCCGTGGAGGCCCTGCCCTGACGGCTGCTCTGGGTTCAGGCATGAAACACAAGACGGAGCTGATCCTGAGGGAGCTGCAGAAGCATTTCCGTGGGGAGTGGCTTGTCTACATCGAGGACCTCGCCATGGTAACGCTCCCTGCCCACGGCGTGGGGGGTGCCCGGATGGGGAGCGTGCGCAGGGGAGAAGGAGGGCCTGGCCGGGGCCACAGAGGCATAACCCGCCCCCGCCCCCCCAACACATACACACAGACAGACACAGGGGCATGTCCCCAAGGAAGGCCCATCCCCCTAGCCCAGTGACGGCGAACCTTCTGAGCTCGGCGTGTCGGCGTTTTGAAAAACCCTAACTTCACTCTGGTGCCGTGTCACATATAGAAATCTTTTGATCTTTGCAACCAGAGTAAAACAAAGACTTCTATTTTTGATATTTATCTTATATATTTAAATGCCATTTAACGAAGAAAAATCAACCCCAAAAATGAGTTCGCGTGTCACCTCTGACACGCGTGTCACAGGTTCGCCATCGCTGCCCTAGCCTCTAGGCTAGCAGCACGCGGTTGATTGAAGTTTGAGGTCACACGTTTTTCTGCGCTGCAGTCAGACAAGTCTTTCTAAGATACAAATGCCAGCCTGGTATTCCCCATCTGACTCTGCACTGACTCCCAGATTTTCTTTTTTAAATAGATTTTTATTGATTTCAGAGAGGAAGGGAGGGGAAGAGAGAGAGAGAGAAACATCCATGATAAGAGAGAATCATCGATCGACTGCCTCCTGCACGCCCCACACTGGGGATGGAGCCCGCAACCCGGGCCTGTGCCCTGACCGGGAATCGAACCCTGACTCCTGGTTCACAGGTTGATGCTCAACCCCTGAGCCCCGCCGGCCGGCCGGGCCCTTCTTAGCATGGCTCACACTCACCTCGATCAGCTGTTTACCTGATGGTCAGTTCCATGAGGGCAGAGGCGGCGGGCGTCTTGTGTGCGGTCCCCTGGCTCCCGGCAACAGGGCCAGGCCGCCTGGGGACTCAGCCCTGGGGAAGCGCCCGGAGGATGTGCAGCCTCAGACACGAGGCCCTTGCTGCCGGCGGCCAGTCGGCTCACTCTGAGCATCAGACTCACGTCCACTGGGCCACCTGACGGACTGGGTTCCAAGTTCCACACGGAAACGCCTTTTGCATGGTCCCCTGTGTCGCGTGGTCCGGGCTCTCGTTCCTACCCGGGGGGCGTCAGCGCTGGAGGCTCCTGGTGCTTGGCCAGGGACCGGCCCCCGCTGCACCCTGGTGGCTGGACTCTGGGCGTCCAGAGGCCTCAGGGGACCCCAGGGCTGGGAGGCCCCACGGCAGCGGCCACAGCGCCTTTTCTTTCTCCAGTTCTTCAGGGAATTCCTGAGCCCGGAGGAGAGGATGGACGCCGTCATGGTGTTCATGGAGGCCATGGCCAGCGACAGGGAGGACGACGTCAGGGCCGCGTCCAAGATCCTAAGAATGACCTTGAAGTCCTCGATGCCGGAAATCGGGAAGGTAGCAGACGTGAGGGGCTGGACGGTTCAAGGCCAATGTCAGGGTTCCTTCTTCCTGTTCTTTTTTAAAAAAATCTTTTGATTTCAGAGAAGAAGGAAATGGGGGGAGGGGGGAGAGAAACATCAATGATGAGAGGGAATTGCCAATAGGCTGCCTCCTGCACGCCCCCTACTGGAGATCAAGACGGCAACCCCGGTCAGGGCACATGCCTGGTTTGGCTGGATCCCCAGTAGGGGGCATGCAGGAGGCAGCCTATTGGTGGTTCTCTCTCTCTCTCCCTCTCCCTTCCTCTCTGAAATCAATAAAAAATATATTTTTAAATTTCCGTTGATCTGCACCCTGCCCTCTGCAGGGGTGCCTGGCTATGAGGGTGCCCGGCAATGGGGGTGCCAGCTATGGGGGTGCCCAGCTATGAAGGTGCCCGGCTATGGGGGTGCCCGGCAATGGGGGTGCCCGGCTATGGGGGTACCTGGCAATGGGGGTGCCTGGCAATGGGGGTGCCTGGCTATGGGGGTGCCCGGCTATGGAGGTGCCCAGCTATGGGGGTGCCCAGCTATGGAAGTGCCCAGCTATGGGGGTGCCTGGCTATGGGGGTGCCCGGCTATGGAGGTGCCCAGTTATGGAGGTGCCTGGCCCTGGGGGTGCCTGGCTATGGGGGTGCCTGGCTATGGGGGTGCCTAGCTATGGAGGTGCCCAGCTATGGGGGTGCCCGGTTATGGAGGTGCCTGGCCATGGGTCTCCTGATGAGCAGGGGTTGGGCATCCAGGAAGGAACCTTTGTCTCCCCCCGCCCTCCCATCTCAGGTCCCGGAAATGGTGGAATTCATTTACCACAATATGAACAAAATCACCGAGGCCACGGCCCAGGAGACCATGAGGAAGGTCCTGCAGCTGCTGGCCCAGGCCTACGCCGACGACGTCATCCTGACGCTGCTCCAGATGCAGGACCAGTCCCACAGGTGGGCCCCCGGCCAGCTCCAGGCGCGAGCCCCACAAACTTCTGATTCGCCCCTTCTCAAATGGATCCGACTCCTTTTTGTCCCTAATCCTCACCGGAGGACGTTTTCCCGTTGATTTAGAGAGAGAGGGGAAGAGAGAGGGAAAGACAGAGAGAAACATCGATGTGAGACAAACACATCGACTAGTTGCCTCCTGCACGCGCCCAGACCAGGGCCTGGGCTGGGGAGGAGCCTGCAACCGAGGTAGGTGCCCTGGACCGGAATCGAACCCGGGGCCCTTCCGCCCACAGGCCGACGCTCTATCCACTGGGCCACACGGGCCATTTGCTCCCCTATGGGTTTCCTGTCCCCACTTCGCTTTCTTCTGCTCGCATCGCATCGGGGTGGTGGCCTTGCTCTGCCGGCTGTGAGTTTGATGGGCAGCGGGCGGGGAGCCGCGGGGCCCCCGGAGGGTGACAAGCCGCTGCGCTGCTGCCTCCGCAGGGGGAACCGCAAACCCTGGGAGATCCTGGCGTCCATTCCGCAGAGCTACGTGGTGATCATGGAGCACCTGCTGCGGAGGCTGACGGTGCACCTGAAGCACAGGGCGCCCGAGGCCAGCGACAGGACGCAGATCTCCCCGCTGATAGTAGGCGGGCGCTGGGGCTGGGCGGGGCCATGTGGCTGGGCGGGGCCTTGGCTGGGCGGGGCCCTGTGGTTGGGCGGGGCCATGTGTCTGGGCGGGGCTCTGTGGTTGGAGGGTGCCCTGTGTCTGGGCGGGGCTCTGTGTCTGGGCGGGGCCCTGTGGTTGGGCGGGGCCATGTGTCTGGGCGGGGCTCTGTGGTTGGGCGGGGCCGTGTGTCTGGGCGGGGCCCTGTGTCAGGCGCTGGGCGGGGCCGGCCTCCTCGCTGCCCCGGCCTTGCTGTCCTGAGCTCCTTGGGCCGACGCCTTCTCCTCTCTGTCCGGTGGGCAATTGCAGAGTCTGGGGTGCGATCCGTGGGAGGGTTTCGCAGTCCACCGTGCCTCCTAGGGGGACAGGGTAGCTTCTATTTCTCCCCAGGGGGCTTAGGGAGGACCGACACCCCAGGCCCTGTTAACTCTCTAGGATGGTGAGACAATAAGCAACGGGCAGTGGGGGGAGCACTTTACTAGTAAAATCATGGCATTCTGCACAGCCCGTGTGGCTCAGCGGTGAGCGTTGACCCAGGAACCAAGAGGCTTCCAGTTCCATCTTGGCCAGGGTGCATGCCCAGTAGGGGGCGTGCAGGAGGCAGCTGACCCATGGTTCTCACTCATCATGGATGTTTTTCTTTCTCTCTCCCTCTCCCTTCCTTTCTGTAATCAATAATTTTAAAAAAAGCATTCTAAAGGGGGAAAAAAAAAGAAAAAAGAAATTAAAATAATAGCATTCTAGGAATTTCCCTTGATGTTTCCTGGCTCTGATGCCTGGGATTTCTGGACCAGCCTGTCATGGTCACTGTGGGTAGACCCAAGAGCTGAGACCAGCGTTGCCCACGCGCCCGCTCTCCGTCCACCCCAGGCCACCAGGGCCATGCATGAGCTGCTGCTGGAGCCCAGCCGGCGGATGGAGGTGCAGACGCTGTTCCCGCCTCTGTTCATGGCGCTGCTGATCCAGACGTCCTTCCTCGTGGTGGAGGGGGGTGCCGAGGCCGCCGGGGGCAGCGAGCATGCCACCAAGTGGATGGACCCGGTCAGGTACCTCTGGTCCCCAGGGCCCACCCTCTGAACACCCCCATCCAGGTACCCCCTGCCACCTCCCGACCCCGTCACACCCCCGGCCAGGGCACGCGGTTCCCCACACTCCACTGTAACACGTTTCAGTGGGCTTTTAATTTTTTTAAAAATATATATTTTATTGATTTTTTACAGAGAGGAAGGGAGAGGGATAGAGAGTTAGAAACATCGATGAGAGAGAAACATCAATCAGCTGCCTCCTGCACATCTCCTACTGGGATGTGCCGGCAACCAAGGTACATGCCCTTGACCGGAATCGAACCTGGGACCCTTCAGTCCGCAGGCCGACGCTCTATCCACTGAGCCACACCGGTTTCAGCTAATTTTTTTTTTTTTTTTTTATGTTTTATTGATTTCGGAGAGGAAGGGAGAGGAAGAGAGAGAGAGAAAAACATCCATGATGAGAGGGAAACATGGATCGGCTGCCTCCTGCACACCCCACACTGGGGATCGAGCCTACAACCCAGGCGTGTGCCCTGACCAGGAATCGAACCCTGACCTCCTGGTTCATAGGTTGATGCTCAACCACTGAGCCACACTGGCTGGGCTCAGTGGACTTATAATTTTTTTTTTTTAATTTAGTTGTTAAATCCTCACTTGAGGATATTTTCCCATTGATTTTTAGAGGGAGGGGAAGAGAGAGGGAAAGACAGAGAGAAATATCGATGTGAGAGAAACACATCGATGGGTTGCCTCCTGCATGCGCCCGGACCGGGGCCTGGGCCGGGGAGGAGCCTGCAACCGAGGTAGGTGCCCTGGACCGGAATCGAACCCAGGACCTTTCGGTCCACAGGTCGATGTTCAACTACCGAGCCACGCCGGCTGGGCTCAGTGGACATCTTAGAAGACGGTAGTTCTGGCTACTGGGCCGAGGCTGAGATTCTGTGATGCCGCTCCTGAGCCCACAGCCCTGGCCTCAGGCCCTGCCCCCTGCTGCCTCCCTGCCTCCCCTCGGGCCTCGTCCTCATGTGTGAGACGGTAGCCTGGTCTCCAAGGGCTGCCCCACCCCCAGCAGATCTCAGGGAGTTTCCAGTGGGCAGGCAGGGGAGGGGAGCTGAAGGGTGGGTGCCCCCCTGTCTGCTCTCGGTCCCTCCCCAGCTCCACCGTCGAGGCCCTGAAGACCCTGATGTGGAGCACGGGGTACGGGGACTACGTGTCATATGTGCAGACCCAGGAGGGCTGGGAGCTGCTCACCAGCCCCGAGAGGCACTACGAGGGCGTCACCGTGCTGGCCAGGTGAGCCCGTGCTGCGTGCCTGCCCCGAGCCCTCCAGGGAGTGGCCCTGTGTGCCTGCCCAGGCTCCCCCTGGGTGCCCCCTGCTAAGCCTGGGTTGCCTCTGCCCCCAGCCCTCCCGTGGGTGCCCCTGTGGGCCTGCTCAGGCTCCCCCTGAGTGCCCCAGCTAAGCCTGGGCTGTGTCCCTGGCCCCGGGCCCTCCCGGGGGTGCCCCCTCTTGTGCCCCTGCTAAGCCTGGGCTGTGTCCCTGGCCCCGGGCCCTCCCGGGGGTGCCCCCTGGGTGCCCCAGCTAAGCCTGGGCTGTGTCCCTGGCCCCGGGCCCTCCCGGGGGTGCCCCCTGGGTGCCCCAGCTAAGCCTGGGCTGTGTCCCTGGCCCCGGGCCCTCCCGGGGGTGCCCCTGTGGCCAGGCCTGACCCCCGCCCCCCGCCCCAGGGCCATGGCGACCAGGGACTGTTGGCACAACTGCCCGGTGTTCAGCCTCATCATCCAGATGCTCCGCGAGCAGGAGTACAGGGACCACCTCACGGCCTTCGTGCTCCTGGCGGAGGTGGGTCTTCCAGCTGTCAATCAAAGATGCCCATCAGAGGCTTCCCCGTGGGAACAGCGCCGCCGCCCCGGGGGCCACACGTCGGAACGCGGGCACGCACCCCCCGGCGTGGGTGGGCCCGGAAGCCGGCGCGGCCGGTCTGAACGTGTCTGGTTAGCTTTCGTCCTTTTCAATTGCGTTTCAGAGACCGCATGGGCACGTGTAGACGTAGGCAGATAGACACACGAAGTCACGCGTGCTGCGATCTTTTTTGTTGTCCCTTTAAGAACATTTCCCACTTCAGCCTTCTCCCTCCTATGACATCGGTCTTGCGCCCCTTCTGCGCGTCTCCCGGGTATCTCGCAGGCACGCAACCAAAGGCACGTCCTGCCATAGTTTTCCCCAGGCTCACGTGATCACACACAGACAGATCGGTATCTCTAGGTCCCTATCTATCTATCTATCTATCTATCATCTATCACCTATAATCTTTAGCTACCCATCCATGTATCTCTCTCTCTCTCCCTCTCTGAAATAAATAAAAATCTATTTTATCTCTATCTATCATCTATCTATATCTATCATTTATCTATATCTATACCTACCCATCTATCTGTTATCTATCTATCTATCTATCTATCTATCTATCTATCTATCTATCTATCTATCTCTCTCATCTGTCTATCATCTATATCTATCCACTAGAGGCCCAGTGCACGGATTGGTGCACCAGTGGGGTCCCTAGGCCTGGCCTGCGGGGATCGGGCTGAAACCGGCTCTCCGACATCCCCTGAGGGGTCCCAGATTGTGAAAGGGTGGTTCTTGGGTGACGCACCCCAGAATCAGGCTCCCTCCTCTCTGGTTCCGGCTGCGTCACCTGAGAACCACCACTGCCAAGTCACCGCAGCTCGGCAGCTCCTGCGTTGAGCGCCTGCCCCCCCTGGTGGTCGCTGTGTGTCATAGCTACTGGCTGGCTGGTCCGTCAGTTGCTTAGGCTTTTATATATATAGATTATCAACATCACCTATCTCTATCAACTATAGATCCGTCAATTGATCATCTATGTCTGTCTCTCTATCATCGATCTACCTACCCGCCATCTCTGAGTGCGTTCACCCCTCCAGCTCCCGGTGGGTGTCACAGATGCCCGAGGCAAACTTGTAAAATAAACCAAGGTCCCGGAGAGACAGGATACGGAGTTCCCTTCCCTGAGCTCGGCCTCTCGCCGGTCCCCCCACATCCCTCGGCACAGGTCTGTCCTCACGCCCAGCCAGGACCCCAGAGTCCACGCCGCCCCTCCATGCCTACTGTCTCCGTCCCTCTCGTCTCCTTCGCCAGCTGCTCCGGTGCCGGGAGGTGGTGGCCACCGTGGACGAGGCCACCACCCGCGTCCTGGCCAGCTGGTTCCAGTGCGAGGAGCCGGCCACGGTGAAGCTCCTGCTGCGGGTGGCCGAGACCTTCGCGCTGCACGGAAACATGGTGAGGCGGCGGGCGGCTCCCTCTGGCCGCCGCCCAGTCGGTGCCAGGATGAGAGCCTGGTCTCTCGGGTGACCGCGGCCCTGACCCGCGGGCGGGGCCGAACCGGCACGGGAACCCCTGGACTGTCCCTCCGCAGACCAGGCAGCTGGGCCTCCTGCAGCCCTACGTGCTCAACTGCTGCCACTCCGAGGATGGCGAGGTCGTCACCGAGACCTTCCTGGTGCTGAGGTGCCTGGTGGAGCACCTCACCTGGCAGAAGCTCCCCTCCTTCCTGGTGCAGCTGGCCTTCACACTCGGGCCCTTCTTCGAGGCGGTACGGCCCCCCCCTCACCCCACGGCTCATTGCCCAGCTCCAGGCGGCTGGGGAGAATGGGGTGGGGGGAGGGCGGGGGAGTTGGGGGGAATGATCTGGAAGGCCCTGCTGGCTTGGCCTGGATGCCGGGGCCGTTGGCTTTTGTCCTCTCTTTCTTCTTCTTCTTCTTTTTTTTAAAAAATATATTTTATTGATTTTTTTACAGAGCGGAAGGGAGAGGGATAGAGAGTTAGAAACATCGATGAGAGAGAAACATCGGTCGGCTGCCTCCTGCACACCCCCCACTGGGGATGTGCCCACAACCAAGGTACATGCCCTTGACCGGAATCGAACCTGGGACCTTTCAGTCCACAGGCCGACGCTCCATCCACTGAGCCAAACCAGCTAGGGCTCTTTTTTTTCTAAAATAGATTTTTATTGATCTCAGAGAGGAAGGGAGAGAGAGAGAGAGAGACATCCGTGATGAGAGAGAACCGTGGACCGGCTGCCTCCTGCACGCCCCGCACTGGGCATGAGCATGTGCATGCAGCCCGGGCCTGTGCCCTGTCCGGGAACCGAACCCGGACCTCCTGGTTCATAAGTCGATGCTCAACCCCTGAGCCACGCCGGCCGGTGGCTTGTGTCCTCTCGAATAAGGATTATAAGGGGGAGAAGGGGGCAGTGTCGGTGGGGAAGGGAGGGGCCTGGGGGGCATGCGGTCAGGGGGGTGAGATCCGGGGCCGATCCCCGGTGACGGGCCGGCGGACGGAGGCGGAGGGTGTCACCTCGCTCAGGAGTCGGAGCCCCTGCGCCTGAAGGCCTTTGAGATCTACGGGATGCTCCTAGCCAAGGTCAAGAGGTCGTTCTTTGCGTCCCCCCTGAAGCACCAGGTGCTCAACTCGCTGGTCCTCCTGGTGGTGCACCTGGCGGACAGGGACGCCCGCGTGGCCCAGGTGAGCGCCAGGCCGGTTCCCGCAGGAGGCCGATGCCGCCGGGATGGGGAGCGGGGAGCGCTCGGGAAGGGGCTTCGATTCCCCTCAAGGGCACATGCCTGGGTCGCAGGCTCGATGCCCAGCAGGGGGCGTGCGGGAGGTAGCTGATGGATGTTTCTCTCTCGTCCATGTTTCTCTCTCCCTCTCCCTTCCTCTCTGTAAAATCAGTAAAAATATATATATTTTAAAAAGTAACCCCCCGGCTGGTGGGAAAACTGCCTGGAGATACCGCCCTTCTCCCAACCCTTTGCCCTCTGTGCGCCCCTCTGCCCCTCCTGGCCCCCTCCCGGCCCCCCTCCCGGCCCCGCTCCCAGCCCCCCTCCCGGCCCCCCTCCCGGCCCCCCTCCCAGCCCCGCTCCCACTCTGGCCGCCCTCCACCAGGTCTGCCGGCTCGCCCTCTGCCGCACGGCCTCCATCCTGGGCTGGTGGCGGCTCCGCGCCGTGTTCGCCGACAGGGACCTGTGGACGATCCTCAGGGCCCTGGTGAGCGGCGGCCCCGGGGCGGGGACCCAGGCCAGGTGGTCTCCCTGCCACGCGGGGTCCTGACCGGAGCCTGTCCCCCAGCTGGAGCGGGAGGCCGGCCGCGGCCTGTGGCTGCTGACGCAGAGCCTGTCCCTGCTCCGGAGCCCGCAGGCCCCCGTCCGCCAGGCCGCCGTGTGGTTCACAGGTGGGGCCCCTCTGCTCCCAGCCACGGTGTCCTCGTCCCGGGGTCCCGGGGTCCCCCGCCACCCCCCACCGATGGCCCGGCCCTGGGACGCAGGGTCTGGGGGGCGGGTGGACTGTCTGCTCTGGGAAGCTCCTTCCTGGGGCAGAACAGGCCTCGTCCTGGGAGGCAGGTCCCAGGAGGCCGGGCCAGCCGAGCTCCCAGGCGTGGGTGTCAGGGCTGAGGGTGTCAGGGCTGGGGGTGTCAGGGCTGGGGGTGTCAGGGTTCGGGGTGTCAGGGCTGGGGGTATTAGGGCTGGGGGTGTCAGGGTTCGGGGTGTTAGGGCTGGGGGTGTCAGGGTTCGGGGTGTCAGGGTTGGGGGTATTAGGGCTGGGGGTGTCAGGGCTGGGGGTGTCAGGGTTGGGGATATTAGGGCTGGGGGTGTCAAGGTTGGGGGTGTCAGGGCTGGAGGTGTCAGGGTTGGGGTGTCAGGGCTGGGGGTGCTCTGTGGGATGCTCAGAGCCTGGTGGGAGCACAGGGGTCCCCTGTCCGTCCCCCGCCCTTCAGAGAAGCAGGGACGTCATTTCAACCTCCTGGGAAAAGTCTGAACGGGACGCTGGCCATGTCCAGTTTGGGGGGGAGAGACAGACCAGGGGCGGGGTGGGGGAGGGGCCGAGCAGGTGCAGCCAGGCCCCTCCCCCCCCCACGGGGGGCCCTGAGGTGCCGTGTGCCCCGCAGGCCAGGTCATCCAGAGCCTTGAGGTGGCCCCGGCCGCTGACATTGAGGAGGCCTGCACAGGTGAGTGGCACAGGGGCTCCCGGAGTCACCCCCGGAGAGGAGGGACGAGAGAGGCTCATCCCCAAGGCGCTGAGGTTTGGGGTGCTGGTCGGGGCTCTCCTGCCCCCCCTCCCCGTGTGCACTCACTGACCCCACTCCCACGGAGCCGTAGACCCCACCCCTGAGCCTGTGGCCCCCAGAGGAACTGAGGCTCATATTGCAACGCCACCAGCACCCCCACTCCCGTTTCTGTGCACAGCCTCCCTGGGGGGCCCCTTTCCGCTCCCAAGGCCTGGCCCCCTCGCCCAGCCCACAGCGTCTCTGTGCCAAGCACCCGGCATTTCATTTGTTTTTTTTAAATAATATATTTTTATCGATTTCAGAAAGGAAGGGAGAGAGAGAGAGAGAGAGAGAGAGAGAGAAACATCCATGATGAGAGAGAATCATGGGTCGGCTGCCTCCTGCACGCCCCGCACTGGGGATGGGGCCTGTGACCTGGCTTGGAGCCGTGACCTCCTGGTTCGACCCCTGAGCCGCACGGCCGGGCGGCCCCTCACTTCTGTTCCAGCCCTGAGGGCCATGAGCGAAGACCCCGACCCCTCGGTCCGCTGCCTCGCCACGCAGACCCTGCACGTCCTGGAAGCCAGCAAGAGCCGGCCGGCCCGAACCCGGACGCCCTGGCTCTGCTGCCGGCGGAGATGCTGAGGGAGCCACTCCGGACGGACGTACGGACGTACGGACGTACGGACGCCGTGCCCTCGGGTGGTGGCCCAGAGCGGGCGGCTCCTGAGCCCTGGGCTGGAGGTGGAGGCCTGACCTGCGCCACCTTCGAAATAAAAGGAGGAACTTCTGCCCTGGCCGGTGTGGCTCAGTGGATAGAGCGCCGGCCCAAGGACTGAAGGGTCCCGGGTTCGATTCCAGTCAAGGGCACGGACCTGGGTGGCAGGCTTGATGGGTGTGGGAGGCAACCAATCCCTGTGTCTCTCACATCGATGTTTCTCTCTCTCCCCCCATTCCTTCCACTCTCTCTAAAAATCAATGAAAAATACCCTCAGGTGAGGATTAACAAGGAGGGGCTGCTGTGGGGCAGGTCTCCTGGCCTTTCCACGCGAGTCCGTGCCCAGCGGGTGGGCGGGCCACCCCTTAAGAGCGGTCCCCGGGGCCCAGGCTCTCCCAGCCGCCCCTCCGCCCTCTCCCGCTCTGCCAGGGGCGCTGAGGCCAGAGCCGGAGGTTCTTGGGAACGCCCCCCTGCCCTCGTCCTGGGAGCTGAGTCTGCAAGCCAAGCTGGGGGTTCTGGGCGGGGCTCCTGGTTTAGGCCGGAGAGGGGTTGATTAACGGGCATTGCGAGCTCGTAACCCGCCCCCCATCCCCGGGGAGGCCCGGCCCCCACGAATCACACCCCACAGCCCTGGTCATTCGGGTTTTATTATGACAACTTCCGAGAGCACACACATCGGTCTGGGAACAGAACTGTACAGCGGGCGGGAGGCTTAAATAACTTTCATACACTATGTACAGTCGCGGGCGGAGGTACAAAACGTACATACACCTTGTGCTGGCCACGCGGGCAGGAGCGCGAGCCCAGGGAACCCTGCCGGGGGCCTGGGCAGGGCAGGGGAGGCGGCTAGAGAAGAGCTGGTGGGCGGGGCCGGGCCCGGTTCGCTGCAGGGGTCTTCTCTGACCCTTTGGCTCTTCTTCGTGGGGCAGGTTCCACTCCTGTGCAAGGACCTCAGGACTGGCCTGGGGCGTGGTCGGGTGGGATTGGGCTCATCTGAGTGCTGGGGAGGGGTCAGGGGTGGGGGTAGAACGAAGATGCCACGGAAGAGAGAGAACTTTCCTCGTCCATGGGAGGGCGGGCAGCTCAGGATCTGGGAGCCAGGAGAGGGGGCGAGGCTCGGGGGGCCTGGCCGAGCTAAGAGTATGACCCGCAGCTCCCAGTTGGGGATGGCAAGGGGGGGGGCGGAGGCCTTGGTTTGGGGCGCCCCCTGGGAAGGAGCTCGGTGCTCAAAGGCACAGCAAGGGGCCCAGGCAGCTGGAGGGGTGGTGCCCGCACCCCACCCAGACCACATGGGAGGGAGCCCGGGGCGGCCTCTGATGGAGCTGGGCACCCCCACGGCCCAGCAGCTGCCGCCTGCGTCCGGCCAAGCGGGCGGCGTGAGAAAGTGCGGCCGTGTCTGGCTGCAGCTGTTCGGCTCTTTCCTGCCTTCCAGGCCCCAGGCCCCAGAGGGCGGCAGGCGGCTGGGCTGCAGCTGCCGTGAGGGTGGGGGTCCCAGCCTCTGCCCCTGCCTCCTGCCTGGGCAGCCTCTGGAGCCAAGGCCAGCGGCCGGCCTGGGGGACTCCGGCGGCCAAGGGGAGTCACTCCACTGAGGCCAACACCGAGTGGTTAATACTGCGAACGGGGCTGGGCCAGGACGGCGCCGAGGAGGCCCCGGGGCAGCAGGAGGGACACCGTCCCCCACCCGCCCCCCGCCCCCCCAGGAGCTTGCCAAGGGCCCGGCCGGCGTGGCTCAATGATTGAGCATCGACTTATGAACCAGGAGGTCAGGGTTCGATTCCCGGCCGGGGCACAGGCCGTTGCGGGCTCCATCCCCCGTGTGGGGCGTGCAGGGGGCAGCCGGTCCATGGTTCTCTCATCATGGGTGTTTCTCTCTCTCCCTCTCCCTTCCTCTGAAATGGAAATTAAAAAAGCACTCACAGGGGTCCAGGGATGTGGGTCCGGACTCACAGGGACTCCGCATGGAAAGATTTGGGGTGCGGGGTCCAGACAGGGTGCTTGCTCCCGGGCCCACGGCACTCCCATGCGGCCTGGCCTCAGGTCCTTGCGGGGTGGGGGGGGCGGGTAGGAGGGGGTACAGAAGAGGAAGAAGACGGTGGCCCAAAATCAGGCTGAGCCCCTGGTCTGAGCAAGGCCAGCCCCCCAGAGTCTCCAGGCCCCGTGTGCGCGGCTGCCGCCATTGTGCTCAAACCACACCCATCTGTGCTTCTGACGCGCGGGATGCGTGTGCGAGGAGGCGGGGGGCCCGCCCCCACCTGTGCCCCTGGCCTCGCCCGGGCGCGGGCGGAGAGGCCGGAGCTGGGGGAGCTCAGAGGGACTTCAAGTGTTGCCAGGACGGCGGAGCCGGCGCCGTGAGGTGAGGTAGCGGACCGAGCACCGTGAGGCCTCCAGGTCACCCCGGACGGTCACCCGCGTGCGAGACGCCGGCAGCCACAGCGCGGTCGCCCCGGGCCGGCCCCCGCCCGCCCGCCCGCCCGCCCGGCGAGGACAGCAGTCTCTCTCGGAGTCTCTTCATCACTGTGTGAACATCATGCATGCGAGTCTTCCTACAGGGGGAGCTCTCTGTGGAGGTGGGGGGGCCGGGGATGCCCCTTGAGGGCCGGGAGAGGGGTCTCCAGCGTGGAAGGCAGACGGTCCTGCGGGTCGGCAAGGGCGCGTCTGTCTGCACGAGGGAGAGTTCATGCGCCCGTCCAGCTGGCCATGCACGGCAGGACTGTTCTTGGCTGGGCGGCCCCAGTAGAGCAGGGGACAGGTGGGAGCAGGTGGGAAGAGGTGGGAACAGGTGGGAAGAGGTGGGGACAGGTGGGAAGAGGTGGGGACAAGTGGGAACAGGTGGGAATAGGTGGGGACAGGTGGGAACAGGTGGGAACAGGTGGGAACAGGTGGGAAGAGGAGGAAACAGGCGGGGACAGGTCTCAGCAGGTGCGTTCCGTTCACAGCTAAGACTGCCTCCCTGCCCAGCCTGCGTGGCTCAGTGGTTGAGCGACGACTTAGGAACCAGGGGGTCACGGATGGGGGGGCGGCATCCGAGCTGCTTCCCACGGGGCCCTGGGCTGGGGGTGGGGCACCCCGCCTTCTGGGGGCGTGGGCATGACATCCCCCGAGTGAGAAGACAGGAGGCTGGTGTCAGGGTGCCCAGCGCGGTGCCGGGCCCGGACGGGTGAGGAAGGCACTGGAGCGCCAGGCGGCCGGGGGTCGGGTCACCAGGGTGGCCCCGGGGCAGTGTGGTGGCAGCCTGAGCTGCAGTCAAGAGACGGGGTGGCCCCGAGGGCCGGTGGGGTGGGTCCCAGTGGGGTTCCTGGCCCCCAAAAGCAGAGGGACAGCCGCAGGGAAGAAACTTCAAGTCCAGGAGGCGTCAATAAAAATAAATAATGGAGTGAGGGCTGCCCGTCGGCCCGAGGAGTCTTTGCAGCGGCCCCGCCCGGGCCCCGTCAGACAGGGACCCCGAGAATCGCCGTCAGAGAGGGACCCCGAGAATCGCCGGGGCGGCCGGGTGCAGCGCCAAGGGGCTGAGTTCAGCGGCAGGGCCAGCCGCCCACCCCTGTTTCCGTGGTTACCTGAGGTCTGTGGTTTGGGCTCAGAGGCAGGAGCAGTGTCCAGAGGCTTGGACGGGGGTGGGGTGGGGTGGGGAGCTGCTTGGCCAAGGAGAGAAACAAGAGGGGGAATGCCCGTGGGCGTCACAGCTTAAATGTCCCCCCACCTCTCTCTCCCCCCAAGAGGCAGGGGGTGGGGGGAGACAGGGGTCATGTCCATCATCGGGAGGCCGAGGGGGGAGGAGAGCAGGGAGGGGCCGCAGCCACGGTCCACACCCAGGCCGCTGGCCCCATCGGCCCCGGTGTCCCCTCCACGCCTTCCAGGCTGTGGGGGCCGAGGCGTGGGGTGTCCTCCGGCCTCAGCCCTAGGGTGGGCCCCGGGGTAACCGCCGCAGGCTCCAGAACTTCACCGTCAGGTCACTGCGGGGACAGCGAGTGGCTGGTCAGCTCGGACGGGCCTGGCCGGCCAGACCCGGGTGCCCCCCACTCCCCAGACGTGGCCGGGCCCAGGGGCGGGCGCTGTGAGGCCCAGGGCAGAGGGTGCCGGGCAGGGGAGGGGCCTGCTTTTCCTGATCGTGAGTTTTTCCCACTGCTGGTGGGTTCCGTCCGGCCCTGGACGGGCCCCCACTGCCGTCCACTGCCTGGCCCCCTGGCCCGGGGCCTGTCCCACTCACTGTTCATGCTCGGAGGGGGGGGCTGGAGTAGGAGGGAGGCTGGAGGAGGGGGAGGCTGGAGGAGGGGGCTGGAGCAGGAGGGAGGCTGGAGGAGGGGGGAGGCTGGAAGAAGGGGGAGGCTGGAGGAGGGGGGAGGCTGGAGGAGGGGGGAGGCTGGAGGAGGAGCGAGGCTGGAGGAGGGGGGAGGCTGGAGGAGGGGGGAGGCTGGAGGAGGAGCGAGGCTGAAGGAGGGGGGGAGGATGGAGGAGGGGGGAGGCTGGAAGGGGGAGGAGGCTGGAGGAGGGGGGAGGCTGAGGGGGGAGGCTGTGGGAGGGGGGAGGCTGGAGGAGGGGGGGCTGGAGGGGGGGGGCTGGAGAGGAGCTGGAGGAGGGGGGAGGCTTGGAGGGGGGGACTGGGGGTGAGGGGGAGCGAGGTTGGGGCGGGGGGCGGCTGGCGGAGGGGGGCGGCTGGCGGAGGGGGGGCGGCGGAGGGGGGGCGGAGGAGGGGGCGCGGCTTGAGGAGGGGGCGGCTTGAGGAGGGTGGAGGGTGGGAGGAGCGAGGGGGTGGGCGGAGGGGGGGGGCTGGTGGCGGAGGGGGGAGGGCTGGAGGAGGGGGGAGGCTGGGAGGAGGAGCGAGGCTGGAGGGGGGGGGGGGGGTGGTGGAGGAGGAGCGAGGCTGGGGAGGGGGGAGGCTGAGGCGGGGGGAGGCTGGAGGAGGGGGGCGTCTGGCGGAGGGGGAGGCTGGAGGGGAGGGCGTGAGAGTGGGGCGGCTGGAGGAGGGGGGGGCTGGAGGAGGCGGGGCTGGAGGAGGTGGGAGGGGGCTGAGGAGGAGGGTGGGGTGGAGGAGGGTGGAGGCTGGAGTGAGGGGGGAGGTGAGGAGGGGAGGGCTGGGAGGAGGAGGGAGGCTGGCGCTGGGGGGGGAGGCCTGGGGGAGGGAGGCTGGAGGAGGGGGACCTGGGACCTGGATGGAGCCAGGAGGAGTAAAACAGACTCGTACCGTGGAGAGCAGCTCAGATCGAAGTGGAGAGAGGGGGAGACAGGGGGGAGGAGGAGAGAGGAGGCGGGGTCAGGGCAGGGTGGTGGCTCGGCCCTTTATGGCCAGCACCCGGCGCGGAAGGCAGGGGGTGAGTCCGGGGACGTAATTCCACAGCTTGACCCGGCAGTCACTGTGGCGGAGAGAGGCAGAGCGAGAAGACGGGAGCGGAAGGGGAGAGAAGGGTCAAGGTCAAGTTCGGAGCCAGAAGGGAGAGAAGAGGCCTCTGTGAGCAGCGCCCCCTGGACCGGACGGAGCTGGGTCAGGCGGGCGGGTGGGCTGCGCTGTGATGGGAGATACCTGGACAGGTGTGAGGGCAGCCGGGAGTGGGGGTGGGGGGTAGGGTCTGGGGATGGTGGGCAAGGCCTGGCCGGGCCGGCGCCTGCCTGCTGCCCTGCCCCTGGGCCCTGGGGGTCCGCCCTGCACCCCTTCCCAGCCCATGGTTCTCACCGGGACCCCGCCCACCGCCCGCCCGCCCACCTGGAGGCCGTGAAGATGTGCTTGCTGTTGGTGCAGGCGGCGTTGATGGGGCTGTCGTGGCCCTTGATCTCGCCGACGGGCGTGAAGTTGTCCACGTTCCAGACCTTGATGAGGCCGGCGCGGCAGGCGCTGAGCAGCATGGGCCGGCCGGGCACGAAGGCCAGGGCGCACACCCAGTCCTTGTGCGCGTTGGGGATTTGCTGGGGTGGGGGGAGGGGAGCGTTCGGTGAGGGCCGGCAGGGGACGCGGGGACAGGACCCGCACCCGGCAGCCGCCTGCCCCGCTGCCCCCCCCCCCCCCCCCGGGTCCCCAGGAGCCAGGGCCCCAGCCGAGCCGGGACTTCTGGGCCCAGAGAGGTCATAGTTCGAATCCCGGTCGGGGCACAGGCCCGGGGTGTGGGCTCGATCCCCAGTGGAGGGCGTGCAGGAGGCAGCCGGTCCGTGATTCTCTCTCATCATGAATGTTTCTCTCCCTCCCTCTCCCTCTCCCTTCCTCTCTGAAATCAATTTAAAAAAAATATATATATATATAGAAATCAATCCTCTGGGAGAGGGGACAGGGCTGGACTTCCCCGTCAAGCCCAGGGCTGGGGGAGGAGAGGGGAGGCGGGCAGGTGCAGGGGGTTGGGGGGGAGGGGGGGCTCTGGCTGGGGCTGGGGGAGGAGAGGGGAGGCGGGCAGGTGCAGGGGGTTGGGAGGGGAAGGGGGGGGCTCTGGCCGGGGCTGGGGGAGCCCCACCCGTCCTCCGGCCACACCTGGATGAGCTCCTGCTGCTCCAGGTCCCACTTCTTGATGCCGTTGTCCCGGGAGCCGCTGAACAGCACGTCCCCGTGGATGGCCAGGCACTCGATGCCGTCGTAGTGTGGGGGCTCGAAGTTGTGGGTGGGCCCGATGGTGCCCCCCACGCACTCCCCCAGCTCGAACATCTGCGGGGGGAGGGAGGGTTGGCCCAGAGCCGCCCACTGGGGTGCAGCCCCGGGCCCAGGAGCCGGCGACCCCGAGGTCTGGCCTCCGGTGGCAGCCCAGCCCAGGGGTGCGGGAGCTGCCCCTGCAGGCGAGGGGCCCTTCCCAGGGGCGGGGTGTGGGGGGACGAACTTAAGTCCTGCAGGGGGACCCCCCAGCTCAGCATAGCTGCTACGGAGAAAGGTGGGTGCCTCCGTCTAAAATTCTCTTTATTTTTTAAAAACATATTTTTATTGATTTCAGAGAAGAAGGCAGGGGAGAGGGAGCTATCAACATCACTGTGGCCCTGGCTGGTGTGGCTCAGTGGATAGGGCGTCGGCATGGACTGAAGGGTCCCGGGTTCAATTCCCGGTCAGGGCACATGCCTGGGTTGTGGGCCCCATCCCCAGTAGGGGGTGTGTAGGAAGCAGCCAAACCATGATTCTCTCTCATCATTGCTGTTTCTCTCCCTCTCCCTCTGAAATCAATAAAATAGCCTATATAATAAAAGGCTAATATGCAAATCGACCGAATAGCAGAACGACCGGTCGCTATGACGCGCACTGACCACCAGGGGGTAGATGCTCAACGCAGGAGCTGCCCCTGGTGGTCAGTGCGCTCCCACAGGGGGAGCACTGCTGAGCCAGGAGCCGGGCAGCGCTAAGGAGCGGGCATAAGCCGTCATGGAACATCCCCCGAGGGCTCCCAGGCTCCGCGAGGGTGGGGGCCAGGCTGAGGGACCCCCCCCCCCCGAATGCATGAATTCCGTGCACAGGCCTCTAGTGTGGATATAGTTTAACCATCCCAGGAAGGGCATTCTTCCCACGGGTGTCCCGGTGCCGCAGAGGGAGGGGTGGGGGGCTGGGGGGGTGGGGGGGAGACACGGCAGTGCCCTGGGCACCTTCACGTAGTGGTCCTTGGAGCCGGTCACCACCAGGTCGTGCTGGCTGGCCGTCTGGGTGACCGTCAGGCACATCACGGGCCCGATGTGGCCGGTCAGCTTGCCGATGGGCTGGAACCTGTGGGAGGGCCCGGCAGGGGCAGGGGGGTCAGGGGGACCTGGGCTGGGAGGGGGTGGGCCCGGGAGGCATGCACCCGGCCAGGGGCCTCTCCTCCCTCCGGAGCTGCCCATCCCCGGGGGTCTCCGAGATCCAGCTGGCCTTGCGGGGGGGGTCACCCCGAGCTGAGGCTTGTGCGCCCTCCCTCGGCCATGCCCAGCCTGCCCCCCCACATCTCCCCAGGCCCCCCCCGGACCTGCTGAGCTCCCAGATGCGGACGGCGTTGCCCGAGGCGGCGTACAGCATGGTGCCCGAGGGGCTGAGCGCGATCTGGTTGATCTGGTGCTCGCCCTGCGCGCTGGTGAGGGCACGCGTGGAGGTGGCTGTGCAGGCGTCCCCCGAGATCACCTGACCTGAGGACCTGCCCGGGAGGGAGGGAGGGAAGGGAGGCGAGGTCAGAGAGGAAACCGGTCCGTCCGCACCGGCCGGCAGACCCATCTCACCTCCCTCCCAGCAGGCCCGTAAGCCACTGCCTCCAGGAAGCCCTCCCTGATTGACGGACGGGAGCCGCCGCTTCCCCCGAGACCCACGCAGAGCTCAGCTCCACTCCACCTCGGTGGACGACAGGCCCTCAGACCAGGCTGTCCTGAGTAGGGCCCCCGGGCGGCCAGCACCCCCTGCCCCTCCCCCCTCCCCAGGGAGGGGCACCTACGTGAGGGTGCGGATGCACTTGGCCGAGTCCCGGATGTCCCACACCTTGATGTAGGAGGTGGACACGGAGAAGACCAGCCCCGAGTGGCTGCAGTACTTGATGGAGACCACGTTGTTGGGGTGGCCCTTCAGGGCGGCGATCTCCTGCCCCGTGACCAGGTTCCACATCTTGCAGCTGCGGTCTGGGGGGTGGGGGGGAGAGCGGGGAGGGGAAGGCGTCAGCGCCAGGGCCAGCGAATCCCAGGCCGGGGCTGGGCGCCAGGTCCCTGGGGTGGGGACGACTCAGAGAGAAGGGGGCCCGGGCGTCAGGCAGGCCCCCCGACGCCGTCCATGCCCGCTGCCCTGACTGCTAAGAGCTGGCATCATCATCATCATTATTATTATTAAGAACTACTTTTATTTATTTTTCTAAAGAAATCTTTTTTAAAAAATTCATTTTTATGGATTTCAGAGAGGAAGGGAAAGAGAGAGAGAAACCTTGATGATGAGAGAAGCATGGATCGGCTGCCTCCTGCCTGCACACCCCCTACTGGGGATTGAGCCTGCAACCCAGGCATGTGCCCTCGACCGGAATCGAACCCGGGACCCTGTGGTCCACAGGCCAGCGCTCTACCCACTGACCCACACCGGCCGGGGCGACACCCACCTTTGGAGCCGGTGAAGAGCAGCTCGTCCGTGGCGTCCAGGCAGAGGATGGGCTTGGTGTGGCCCTCGGCCATGGAGACGCACTGCAGCGGGGCCGTCCGCCCGCCCTTGGCTGCTCCGACCGGAGTGATGATCCCCCTTCGGACAGAGGGAGAGAGGACGCCGTCAGTCAGCCGGGGACCCCGCGCCCGGCCGAGGGGGCTCCAGAGCCGCCAGCCCCGCAGGGGGAGGGGGGCCTGCCTTCCGTGGCCCGGCCGCGAGTCTCGTCCCTGTCTAGGCGCAGCCCTGCCCTCGGCCAGTTGCCACCCACGCCTGCCTGACCGCATCCTGAGACATAAGAGCGCCCAGGCCCACCGGCCGGCGTGGCTCGGGGATTGAGCCTCGACCTATGAACCAGGAGGTCACGGTTGGAGTCCCGGTCGGGGCACAGGCCCGGGTGGCGGGCTCGATCCCCAGCGTGGGGCGTGCAGGAGGCAGCCGGTCCATGATGCTCTCTCATCACTGATGTTTCTACCTCCCTCTCCCTTCCTCTCTGAATCAATGAAAATAGATTTAAAAACAAACGCCAGCTGGGCAGGCGGAGACCAGGGGCCGGAGGGGCTCCTGCAACCCCCCGACTCCCCCAGGCTGCCTCCGGGGACCCAGGGAGACCGGGTCGCCGCCCCGCACCCCGTCCCAGCATTTCCCTCCGCCCGGGCCTGTCTCCCACGCAGGGGGACTCCCACAGGCGCACACCCCACCCACGGCCCTGGGACCAGCACGGCCGGACCTGTGAGGGTCGCTGACAAAGGGCTCAACCCTTTAGGGACCTGAGCTCAGCTCTGGCTGGGGGAGGGGATGGTCTGAGCTCCCCCCCCCCCCTCCAGCCCCTGCAGGCTCAGGATGGAGATTTTATTCCTCAACGAGGGACCCCTGGGCGCGAGGCCCCCTGAAAACATGTCCTCGCTCTTCCCCAAAGAGAACGCCGTGTGGACCGACGGGGCGCGGTGGCCGAGGACGGGATGAAAGGACCCATGTCCCTCCCGCAGGCTGCTCATGGCCCCAGGGACGCAGGCAGCCCAGCCCCAAGGGCGCGGTCAGACAAGGGTCCGACAAGGGTCCGACAGGCCCAGTGCCGGTCAAGGGCGCGCACAACAGCCTCCCGCGTGTCCTGGCTCCCGCTTCTCCCCTCGCCGGGGCCCAGCTGTGGCCGGGAAGGACCGGAGGGCTGTGGGCAGCAGGTGAAAGGGCTAACCCTGCTCTCGAGGGGCTGGCAGCGTCCTGGGGGGGATGCCTGGGCCCCGGGTGGGAGGACGACAGGATGCGGCCACGGCGGGCGGTTAGCGGAGGGCTTGGCGGGAGAGCTCTCAGCTCAGCTCAGGGCCCCTGGGGCCTGGGACGCGCTCTGTGTGTGGGGTGCTGTGAGGGCCCCCCGCCCCCCGGCACTCCGGGTCCTTGTGCCAGGAGATGGGGGTGGGGGCAGAGCTGGGGTCTAAGTGTGCGGCACCGACGCAGGCAGAGCGACCCACAGACTTTCCGAGCATGGCATCCACACCCGCTCGGCCCGCCCCCCCAGGCCCCATGCCCCCCCCACCCCCCCGGCCCAGGTGACGGGAGCAGAAGACAGGCCGTGACAAGCGACCGCACGCCCCTCCCCGCGCGAGCCCCCAGCTCCAGCCGGTCGGTCAGGGGGGCAGTCAGAGGCCAGGCAGCCGCCAGGAGAGGAGGAAACAGGGGCGGGAAGGGGCCTGGGGGGCCGAGGAGAGGAGGGGTGCATGCTGAGGACAGGGTGCAGGCGGAGGGGCCGAGAGAGAGAGAGAGAGAGAGAGAGAGAGAGAGAGAGAGAGAGAGAGAGGGCTGGGAGGGGTGCGCGGCCGTCTGTGTACCTCAGGACCTCGGACATAGAGGAGTCGCTGTCATCAGACCTGGGAGGGCAGAAAGTTAGCCGGATTAGGGGGGGCGGGGCGGGCACACACAGGGCGCAGAGCAGCAGTCAGGGGCGGTTATTCTCGGCGAGGGGAGTGGAGAGAGGCAAAGGGGGGAGGCGCCGGGGGACAGCAGGGTGGGGGAGGGGGGCGGGCTGGCCTGGGCGCTGGGGAGGCCCGCAGCTGACAGGGTAGGATGGGGGGCCCCCTCCCGAGGACGACGCGGGATCGCCGGCCCCACACTCTGGGGAGACTCCTCCTGGGATGTTGTCTGCCCCATCCACAAGCTGGGGGCCCCCGCACCCCCGCAATGCTGGGGCCTGCCTGCTCCTCCCACCCGGGAGGGGACCGCCTGAGCTGGCTGTGCACCTCACATGAGCCCCAGACCCGGACCCCCGGATGGGATTGAGGTCTGGATGACCCCTGGATGGACTGGGGTCTGGACGACCCCTGGATGGACTGGGGTCTGGACGACCCCTGGATGGACTGGGGTCTGGACAACCCCCGGGCGGGACTCAGGTCTGGACGACCCCTGGATGGATTGGGGTCTGGACGACCCCTGGATGGACTGGGGTCTGGACGACCCCTGGATGGACTGGGGTCTGGACAACCCCCGGGCGGGACTCAGGTCTGGACGACCCCTGGATGGACTGGGGTCTAGATGACCCACAGGCTGGGATGGCGAGAGACTGTGAAAGCGGGCGGGAGGGGGCACTTGGTTGGGGGCACTTGGTTGGGGGCACCAGGTTGGGAGGGGACCCTGGTTGGCGGGGGCCAGGGCGGGGCCAGTAGGGAGTGTGAAGAGGAGCGCATGGAGCACAGGCCCCCCGCCCCTGGGCAGAGCCCCCGTTAGGGACACGGGCAGCTGGGTCCCAGCCCCAGGCCCTTGGCCGGCTGTGCGCTTCCTAGGCGGACACCCGCGGGCCTGCCTGAACCTCATTCCTCTCCTGTGAGGCGGGCAGGTCGTGCTCACAGCTGAGTTGTGGCTCAGGGGAAACCTTGGGGTGAAAGCAGGTGCTACATGGGATGGCTGTCACCCCCCATCACACCAGCAGGGGGCGCACCGTGGGGTGAGCCGACCCGGCCACGGGAAGGTGACAGGGGACAGTGCGCGGGGCCCGTCTGAGTGTTTGGGGAGCAGAGGGGACTGGTGAGGCGGCAGGAAGGGGCTTCCGAGAATCCAGGCACCAGCCACGGAGGATTCGGGGTCGTCTGGGGGCCTGCGGGGGCCTGAGCGCCCCTGTCCGTCCCTGCTAGCTCGCTCCCGAGGTCCCAGCTCCCTCAGGGAATAGACGGGTCCCCGGTCAAGACGGAAAAGACAGAGATGCCAGGAGTGGGGCCGGAACAGAATGTCTGGAGACTGCCCAGCTGTGCCAACCCTGCCCACGCCCACGCCCACGCCCACGCCCACGCCCACACCCACGGCCACGGCCACGACCAGTCCGCGGGCTCCCTCCCCTCAAAGAGCCCGCCCAGTGCCGGCTCTTACTTGTCCAGCGCGGAGCCCTGGCTCTGATTGCTGGTCAGACGCGAGAAGACGTTGCGATCGTTGCGTGGCCGTGTGGGCGGGGACGAGGGGGGCGTGAATCCCACGTCTGTGGACCTGCCAAACGGGGACAGAGAGCGGCATGTCAGTGTCGGACCCATTCTGACTCCGTCCGACCTCAGACACACATGTGGCTGGTGGTTCCTGGTGGTTACAGCATCGACCTAGGAACCAGGAGGTGTCGGTTCGATTCCCGGTCGGGGCACAGGCCCGGGCTGCGGGCTCGATCCCCAGTGTGGGGCGTGCAGGAGGCAGCCGGTCATTGATTCTTTCTCATCATGGATGTTTCTCTCTCTCCTTCTCTCCCTTCCTCTCTGAAATCAATAAAAATCTATTAAAAATAAAAGAAGGGGCTGAAGGACATTTGGGCAATGATGGAGACACCAGCACGGAACCCACACCCACCAGCGATTTTAGCTGCGGGCTTGGCCCCGGTTCTAGGTGCCGACAGAGGTTGTGCGTCCGGAGTCCATGCAGGACGGGGCGGGGGAGGGACCCTGGGGGCGGATGGGTGACGGCGGGGACTGGCCCGGACTAGAACGCGCCCGAAAGGATCCGTAGCGTGGACGCTGCCGCCACTCACGCCGCCCAGGCCCCGATGGGCAGCCACACTGGTGCCCAGCCCGGGACCCGCTCTCACCTGACGGGCTGCCCGCGGTCGTACGACTTCCTCCGGGTCAGAGGGGACGTGTCGGTGGCTCGGGACTGCCGGGGGCTGGAGAAGGGAGGCCAGTGAGTCCGGGTGAGCCCGGTGGGCCAGACCCCTGCCCACCCCCCGCTGCCCGCCCGCCCCGCCGCCCGCCTTACAAGGTGCTGCCTCTGGTGGGCAGGCTGACGGTGCGCGAGACCTTGTCGCGGGGGTAGGGGTCGCGCACGGAGAAGCCCACCCCGTCCTCCGTGATCTCCACCAGCGAGGCCAGGGACTTGGTGATGTTCTTGGTGGAGCTGTCCAGCGGGGGCCCCAGGCACTCGGCCGACGCCGCCTTTATCTGGGCCGACAGCTTGGGCTCGCCCTGGAAGGGAAGCGCCCGCAGGTGTGACCCGGGAGTCCCGGGGGGGTGGGGCGGACGGTGGGGCCTGGGCCGGAGGCAGAGCAACCCGGGAGGTGGACGCACCAGCCATCACCCTGAGCCCGTCTCTCAGGGCTTCTGGCCAATGCAAGGCAACAGACATGGATTGTCTGCCCTTATGTGGACTGTGTACCCCAAACGTGTACCCCAACCTGTGCACAAGTCTCTCTTAAGAAAGCCTGTTCGTGCCCGGCCGGCGTGGCTCAGTGGCTGAGCGTCGACCTAGGAACCAGGAGGTCAGGGTTCGATTCCTGCTCAGGGCACAGGCCCAGGTTGCGGGCTCCATCCCCAGTGGGGGGTGTGCCGATCCATGATTCCCTCTCATCATTGATGTTTCTCTCTCTCTCTCTCTCCCTCTCCCTTCCTCTCTCTAAAAATCAATCAATAAAAAAAAAAATCCCTTTTCTTGGTTCAAGCCTACCCGTGGCCGCACCCTCCCTGGCCCCCAAATGCCCTTACTGCCGCCCCTGCTGGTGGCCGACGGGCTGCGTGTACGACAACCAGGATCTGTTCGGTGAGTTGCTGACTTGGGTCTGGGCCGGGTAAGAGGGAGGTTTTGAAAGCGGGAAGCGGGGCCCTTGGTTATGGTGACGTCACCAGACTCGGGCTGCTCCTTCCATTTCTCTCCCTCCCCCCACTTCAAAAAGAGCAGGCTGCCCCGGGTTACACACCTGCACCCCGGGTGCCCGCCCCTCCCGTCCTAGGCTAGACCCGTCCCCACTGGAAGCAACACGGGGTCGGGCTTGGGGGGCGAGGGTAGAGGGGCCTCGCCGGCCTCCCGAGGGGGCTCACCTTGAACTTGAAGTCGTCGTGGCTGCTGGAACCTTTCATGGTGAACGACTGGGAGAAGCTAAGGGAGAAGCAGGGGGAGTTCAGGACCCCGAGAGCCCGTGTGCGCCCTGGTGCTTGGGGACCCCCCTCGGGCTGGGCCCCGGACCCCGTGGCTCCCCCACCCCCAGGTCCGCGCCGAGCTGGGACTCACCTGCCCTCGGAGAACTCCGACACCTCCTCATCGGTGCTGGCGTAGCCGTTCTCTTGGGGGGGGGGGGGAGTGATGGAGAGGGGGGGTCAGATGGGTTTGGGCAGAGTTCTGGGGAAGCCAGGGTCCCTGGGTCGGAGCCCTGGGGCCCGGGCCGCCCCCCCGCCCCCCGCATACCTTGCTGCACGTTGTAGATGAGGGCCTGCAGCTCGGGGTGCGCCTCCGCCTTCTCCCGCAGGGCGTCCAGGAGCAGGTGGTTCTGGGAGGAGCCCGCGAGGTCGGTCTGCCTCAGCCGCCCCTCCAGCAGCCGGATCTGGGCCTCCTTCTGGGCCACCTGCAGCCCCTGTGGACGGGGAGCGGGCCCAGGTGACCCTCCCCGGCCTGGGACCAGGGGCACCCCCGCCCCTGCCCTCACACCACCGGCTCCCACCCAGGGAGACACGCTGGAGGGCCCCCCCCATAACTCCCAGACGTCGCCTGTGCCTGGCTCAGACCTGGGGTGCACCCCTGTGCCCCCTGACTTTCCCCACACAGGACCTCAGAGTGTGACTGTCTTTCATGAATCATTAGGTTAAATGGGGCCTTTTGGGGGCTCCATCCCCAGCGGGGGGCGTGCAGGAGGCAGCCGGTCCAGGCTTCTCTCTCAGCATGGACGTTTCTATCTCTCTCTCCCTTCCTCTCTGACATCAATAAAAATATATTTAAAAAAAGAAGAAGAAGAAGAGGGACGGGTGAGGAGTCCGGGGTGGGGAGGGGCAGGCTCCCCCCTGTCCAGAGCTGGACTGCATGCTCCCCACGGGGTGCCTGTCCCCGAAGGCCGCAGCCCGGGACCCTGCTGTCCCAGCATAAACCCTGCTGGGGGGAATGTGGCCCGTCCGTCCGTCCGTCCGCGCTGCCCCACCCAGCACACGCGCGCACACACTTGCCCTCCGCCTCCCGCGGACTCAAGCCCAGCCCTGCTCCGGACGGGCCTGGGCCGGTGCGTAGGGTCCCCTTTACGGGAGGCCCTGCTGCGAGCCAGGCAACGGGCCAAGCTGCTCACAGGCGTCATCTCGTTAAAGCGCCGAACCAGCCACAGCCTCGGTCCGTCTGTCGTCAGCCCGTTCCCTGGGCGGAACCGGGGCTGGGCGTGAGGCGGCGGCGGCTTGCCCGAGCCTGTGAGTGACGGACGTGGCTCTGAGCAGCCAGGTGGGAGGGGGCGGGGGGGGTCCCGTCCAGGAGGCGCGCGGCCGCCCACCTGGCCGATGGCCCACCTTGTCGATGGACGCCTTGAGGAAGTTGTCCAGCAGGAGGCGGGCTTCGGCCAGGGAGCAGGAGCTGATGACCACCGACGTGTCCGTGGAGTCCAGCTCCTCCTGGGGCCGGAGGCAGAGGGCCCGGGTCAGCAGGGCTGCGCCCCGCCCCGCACCCCACTCCCTGCATCCGCACCCCCACCCCCACCCGCCCGCCGCCCCCCGCACCTTGGTCTCCTCCAGCTGCACGATGGTGGCCTGGCAGTCGGAGATGCTGTCGTTGATGTAGTCGATGTTGGCCGCCAGCGCCTCCATCTCCTCCGCCAGCTCCTGCAGCCCCTTCTCCTCGGGGCTCTCCGCCTGCAGCCGCTCCCGCTTCCGCCGCAGCGCCTCCTGCAGGAGGAACAGCTCCTCCCTTTTCTGGGGGGGGGGGGGTCGGGGAAGGCCTCAGGGTGCTGTTCAGCCCTGCCCACAGCTGCCCCCACCGGCCCCCGCGTAGCCTCATGGGGACCCCCAGCACTTCTGCATTCGAGAGCTACCATGAGGATCAGGGGACGGGGGACGAGAAAGGTCGGAAGAGCCTGCCTGAGCCGTCAAAAGTGACAGCGGACAGCCTGGCCGGTGTGGCTCAGTGGTTGAGCATCCACCTAGGAACCAGGAGGTCAGGGTTCGATTCCCGGTCAGGGCACAGGCCCGGGTTGTGGGCTCGACCCCCAGTAGGAGGCGTGCAAGAGGCAGCCGATCCATGATTCTCTCTCATCATGGATGTTTCTAACTCTCTCTCACTCCCCCTTCCTCTCTGAACTCAATAAAAAAAAAATATATATATTTTAAAGTGACAGGAGATGGCAGAGGGTTGCAGGTGGGAGGGAGGGGTGCAGAGGGAGGGAGGGGTGCAGAGGGAGGGAGGGGTGCAGAGGTAGGAGGGGTGCAGGCGGGAGGGAGAGGGAGGGTGCAGAGGTAGGAGGGGTGCAGGCGGGAGGGAGAGGTGCAGAGGTAGGAGGGGTGCAGGCGGGAGGGAGAGGTGCAGAGGTAGGAGGGGTGCAGGCGGGAGGGAGGGGTGCCGGGAGGGACAGCGCCCACCTTGATGAGCCGCTCCATGTCGGCCTCCAGGTTGACAAGGGTCATCCTCTGCATGACGATGTCGATGACCCTGCGCTCCAGCGACTGCCACTTGAGCCGCGCGGCCTTGCTGAAGCTCTGGCCGGCGCCCTTCTTCTGGAACTTCTTCCTGGAGACAGAGGCCAGCGGGTTGGGTGGGCCCACGCCAGGAGCTGACAGCCAGGGGGCGCCACGGGGATGGGGTGGGGGTGGGGGGCCCTGCTTCCCTGGGCTCGCCTCTCCCGGGCCCCCCCTCCCCCCACCTGGCAGGCCGGGTGCCGTGGACAGCGGACTGGTCCCCCACGAAGTGGTTGATCTTCCGGTTCCACTGGCGCACGATGGTGGACACGGAGCGGGCCCCCGACTCGGCCTCCGACGAGGTGGTGCTGGCGGACACCTCGGCGCCCGAGTCCAGCATGGGCGGCTTCGGCACCACGCGCCCCGCCACCCTCTCGGACATGGGCTTGGCCAGGCGCCTCAGCGCAGACACCTGGGGGCCACGGAAGGAGGGTCCCAGTGAGCGGGGGACACGGAGCCCCGAAAATGCCCAGGTCGGGGGAGGGGCAGGGAGGGAGCATCTAGGGGCCCCTCCGCCCCGGCCTGGGCTTGGGACTGAGCCAGGGGCCTCTGTTTGTTGTGAAATGAACACAGAAGAGACTTGTTCTGTTTTGTTTTGAAAGGAGGGACCAGAGCCTGCAGCCGGCCCTCCTGCCTCCGCCCAGGTCGGGCCTGTGTCCGCCGGGAAGGAGGGAGCCGGGCCCAGGCTCCCAGCTCGGGCGGAATCCGAAGGGGGCGGCCTGGGGGGGAGGCACTCCCTCACCTCCTGGGTCTTCCTCCGCAGCACCAGTTCCTGCTGTCGCTTCTGGGACTCCAGAGCTCGGATCTGAAACTGCGGGTGCGAGACGGGGGTCCCCACTCAGGGCTGGTGGGCAGAGGCCTGGCGGCTCAGAGGGGAAGGCTGAGGCCTAGGGGCTGGCCCCTGTCCCCAAGGGGCTACTACCCGGCCTCTGGTCCCCACCCTGAGCCAGGAGGCCCGGGCTGGGGGCTCTGCTTGCTGGTGACCTCGGGCAAGTCCTGCCCCTCCCTGGGTTCCGGTCTGTCCCCCCAACAACAAGGCAGGGCTGGACACACTGCTGGAGAGTGACGGGGGGCAGAACCTCAACGAGGCCCCGCCCATTGCCCCGCCCCCTGCTCCAGGCCCCGCCCACTGCCCACCGCAGCTCTGCCGGCCCCGCCCCTCCAGCTCCCCACTCCCACCCCCCAAGTCTGCAGGGCCCCGGACCCTGGGGGGTGGGAGGGTGGGGAGGGCGCCCTCACCTCCTGTCGCCGCTGCTCCTTCTTGAGCTGCGCGATCTCCCGGTTCCTCTTGGTCTCCACCAGCCGCCGCCGCTGCTGCTCCTCCCGCATCTGCTTCATCAGGGCCACCTGGCCGGGCAGAGGGGGCACCGGGACCGGGCTAAGCAGGTGTCCACTCGCTGCAGGGACTGAAGACGCTGGGCCGGGGGTGGGGGGGACGGGGCAGCCTACCAGGTAGCCCCTGAGGTCCGCCCCCCACCCCCCCGCAGGGGCTGAGCTGCCTCACCTCCTGGGCCACCCACCAGCCCAGCCATGTCCAACCCTGGCCCCCCTGCTCACGGCCCCTGGTCCCCGTCCCCCAAAGCCAACGTCCTGGGTCCGCTATTCTAGGACCTGATGTGGACGGAGCACTCTCTCTCTCCCGACAGCTGGGATGCTGACCGGGGTGGGGGTGAGGGTGTGGGGTGTGGGGGTGAGGGTGGGGAGTGGGAGGGTGGGGGTGGAGGGGGTCAGGGTTAGGGACAGCCCCAGGACCAGGTCAGGGTGCAGGAGGCGAGGGAACGGCAATGACTGCTCACCGCGGTGGGTGGGCCCTGAGGTGACACCCCGCAACCCGCCCCCTGGGCCCCACCTTGGCCTTCTTCATCTCCGCCACCTCGGCCTGCAGCTTCTTCAGCTCCCGCTCGTAGCGCGACTGGTTCTTGAGCAGCCGCGCGTGCTCCTTCTGGGCAGCCTGCAGCTTCTGCAGGTCCCGGTGCATCTCCCGCAGCCGCTTCTCGTAGTCCGCCTTGATCTTGTTGGCCTTCTCCTCCGTGTAGCACTCCATGGTGCCTGCGGGCCGGTCCCCGAGAGAGGCGGCCTCAGGATCCGTCCCCACCCGCCTGCCTGGCCTTGGGGAAGCCACGCCCCTCTCTGCACGTGTGGGCGGGGCTTGAAAAGCAGGAGGGGGCGGGGCCTGCGGAGTTGGGGCTGTGGTTGGGACCCAGGGAGCAGGAGGGGCGGGATCGGCAGAGCTGGGGCGGGGCCTTGAAGCAGGAGGGGCGGGGACTGCAGGGCTGGGTCTGTGGGCGGGATCCAGGGAGCTGGAGAGGCGTGGTCGGCAGAGATGGGGCGGGGGAGTGGGCGGGGCCTCGGGGCTGTGGCCGTGGGCGGGGCCTCGGGGCTGTGGCCGTGGGCGGGGCCTGTGGAGATGGGGCTGTGAGCGTGACCCGGCGAGCAGGAGGGGCGGGGTCGCAGAGATGGGGCGGGGCCTTGAAGGAGGAGGGGCGGGGCCTGCAGGGCTGGGCGGGGTATGGGGCGGGACCCGGGGAGCAGGAGAGGCATGGTCAGCAGAGATGGGGCGGGGAGTGGGCGGGGCCGCGGGCGGTGGGCGGGGCCTCACTGAGGTTCTGCAGCACGCGGTCGCGCTCCAGCTGCGTGTCGCGGATCTTGTTCTGCAGCAGAATCAGCTTCTCCTCGTACTGGTGCTTGAGCGTCTGCAGCCGCCGCTGGCTGTTCTCCAGCTCGTCGATCAGCTTCTGCTTGATCTCGATCTCGCACGTCAGGTCGGCCAGATCGGCCTGGAAGTTCACCTCTGCGGGCAGAGACCGGCCTGACCCAGGGCGCCAGGGTGGGCGCCAGGGCCCCGGGGCGAGGAGCGGGCAGGGGGCTGAGGGGGCCCCCAGCCCAGGCGCACGCCACGCACCCTTCGCCTCGGGGTCCGAGTCGGAGTCCACCAGGCTCTCCTCGCTGCCCGAGTCCTCGTCCTCGTCCTCGCGCCCCTCCTCCTCCTCGCAGCCACTCTCATCCGGATCTTCCTCCTCCTGCGCATCAGGCGCCATTAGGGGGATATAGGGGGGCGGGCGGTCCCTCCCCCACAAGCTGGGCCCCGCCTCAGGGAGGGGCACCCAGAAGCAGAGGCTGGTCCAGGCATCCCCGCAGGTGGGAAACGGGGGTGAGGCCCTGTCGGGGCCCCTTGTGCCCACCTCCATCCTGGAACGGAGCTTCCCATCCCCCCAGCAGCCTGGGATGAGGGAGGGGACTGAGGGATGGCGATCACCATGGCAACCCAGCAGAGAGCAGGAGGCAGACCAAGCGCAGTCCCTGTTCCCGCGGTGCACAAGGAGGTGCTGGGGCCCCACCCGGCGGGAGTGGGGTGAGTGTGCGAGGGGAGGGGAGGGGAGGAGAGGGGCGGGGAGGGGAGGGGCGGGGTGGGGAGGGCGGGCTCACCTCCTCCACCTCGTTGTCCTCATTCTCATCCGTCTCCTCGCTGTTTTCCTGTTGGAGCTTCGCCCTCTTTTTGAAGGCCTCCTTCTCCGGGCTGCCCGGGGGGAGAAGGGCAGGCGGGGTTAGGGGGCTGGACCTGGCTGAGCACGTGGCGGGGGTGTGTGTGGGGGTGTGGGGGGTGGGGGGGCAGGTCTAGTCCGGAGCTCACAGGACAGGACCAGGTTCCTGCTCTGCAGAGTGTGGCCGCCCTTCTCGTCCCCCCGCCCACAGTCACCGGGACTGGCCGCCTCCCTCTCCCGGGTGGACAAGAGCAATCGGTGGCTGTGCCCCAAAGGCGGGCTGTCTGCTCAGAGGCCCCAGGGGACCCCGGACGGCGACCGGGGGGGGGGGGGGGCACCCGGCGAGATCCCGGGCGCTCACTCGCCTCTTCCTCCGCTGCCGGACCTCCTTCTTCTTGAGCCGCTCCAGGTCCTGCTTGGCCCTGCGGATCACCTCCGAGGCCTCCTCCATGGCGCTGGCCGGGCTGCCCCCCAGCCCCGGGGCGGCCGGGGAAGCCCCCAGGGAGTAGGGGCCCCGCGCCGAGGCCCGGGAGAGGCTGCGACGCAGGGACTCGTTCATGGCCTCGCTCTCCAGCAGCTTTGTCCTGCGGGAGGGGGTGGGGGGTAGGGGTGAGGGGGCCGCCCTCGCCTGGCCAAGGCCCCCGGGGGTCCCAGGGGTGCCGGGCTCACTCACCGCAGCTCCTCAATCTCCCGGATGTAGGTCTGGATCAGAGCACCGATGGCCTCGTTGCCATCACCTGGGGGAATAAGTAACAAAAGCACCTTCAAGCCCGGCTGGCGTGGCTCAGTGGTTGAGCCTCGAGCTATGACCCAGGAGGTCAGGGTTCGATTCCCGGTCAGGGCACGTGCCCGGGTTGCAGGCTCGATCCCCAGGGCGGGGCGTGCAGGAGGCAGCCGGTCCATGCTTCTCTCTCATCACTGGCATTTCTCTCTCTCTCTCTCTTCCTCTCTGAAATCAATAAAAATATATATATTTTTAAAAAGCTAAAATTGAGTGGAAAAAGATGCATGAATGAACCGATCTGTGAGCTCCTGGGCTGGCCCAGCCCGCCCGTCTCCTGGCCAGGGGCGGGGAGGGAGCCCTAGCCTCGGTGCGCCCAGCCGGCCCGGGCACCCACTCACCGGCCTTGGCCAGCAGCAGGTTGGCCTCCTGGCTCATGAGGTGGGTGACGCGGCTGTTGATGGCGTCGATGGCGTCCTGCATGGCCTTCACCCGCAGGCGCAGGGCGCCGTTCTCCTTCTGCAGCATTGCGTTCTCCCGGAACAGGTCGCTGTAGCCCTCGCTGCCGTCCTCCCCGATCACCCTCTTGCCCTGGGAGGGGGGGCGGGCGGGGGATGGGGGGGAGTCAGAGCCCCAGGGAGTGAGGGCCCAGTGTCCCTAGAACACAGCTCCTGTCTCCCACGCTCAGAAGCCATACACGGTCGGTTTCTATAGCGACAGAAAAGCCCAAAGTCTGTGACCGGCCGTTCCAGGCTTCCCCTCAAGGTCACCTCGACCTTCCCTGCCACAGCCCACCTTCCTGTCTCCACAGACTCTAACCCAAGGGTCCAACCCGAGGGGACCTGGGCAGCTGGTGTGAGTGAGGAGGTCCATCTGGGTGTTAGACAATAGGGAGTTGGGGGGGATTGGGGCCAACAGAGTCCTTCTAGCCAACGTGGTGCCCTGCGTTGTGACATCTTCAAATATGTCAACCCAAACCCACTTGTGTGCCGGATCCAGGCCCAGGACCACTAACCGGTGACTTCCGCCTTAGTCACAGGGAACGGGGTACGTCCCCCAGGACACACGTTCACATCCCACAATGCCTGCTCCTCTTGCTTCTGCCGACAGCTCACTCGTGCTTCAAACTCCATGGAAAAGGACTCCTCCTCCATGAAGCCCTCCCTGACCACCTGAGGAAGTAGGGCCAACTCTCTCCTCTGCCTGCCCCGACCCCACCCTGCACACTGGGCGACTCGTGCGGTGCTACCCACTATCCTGATTCTCATTCTGGGCCTAGGAGCCTCAGCCGGTCAGCACAGCGGACGTGAGTCTGGGCGTCGTGAGATCCGCACCACGCAGGCCGCGGGCATGAGCTCACCGCCTTGTACTCCATGAGCTCCATCTGCAGCCGCGCGATCTCGGCCCGCAGCGCGCTGATCTGCTGGCTGGTCTTGTCCTGGTTCACCACCACCTTGTTCTTGATGTTCCGGGCCCGGTTGGCGTATTTGAGGGTGTTGAGTGTCTCCATGAAGTCCCGGTCGGAGGGGCTCACGCAGGCGATCATGATGGTCTGGCTGGGGGTGCAGGAAGCGGGGGTGAGGGTCCCAGGGCCCAGCCGGCTCCTCAGAAGCACATCACAGAGCAGAGCTCCCGCTGCCCCCTCTGCACCCCCATTTCCTGAGGACTGGGCTTCACGGGGCAGAACCTGGGTGGTGGGGACCTGGACCCCCCACAGAGCAGGTGGCGGGCAGACTGTGAGGGGCCAGCGCCAGAGAGATGGCCCTGCATCTCTTTACCATTTTCCATCTATTACCCCGGCTGAGCTCTATCACCTTTTTATTTTATTTTTTAAAAAATGTATCTTTATTGATCTCAGAGAGGAAGGGAGAGGGAGCAATAGAAACATCCGTGAGGAGAGAGAATCGTGGACCGGCTGCCTCCTGCACGCCCCCTGCTGGGGATCGAGCCCACAACCCGGGCCTGTGCCCGACCGGGAATCGAACCCTGACCTCCTGGTTCACAGGTCGATGCTCAACCACTGAGCCACGCCGGCCGGGCTGTCACTTCCTTTAGGGACTATCCCTCCCTGGGTGCAGAAGAGTCCCATCCTATTGGCCCGAGGTCAGGGGGCATCTCAGCCCAGAGCAGGGGGTCTCCTTGTCCCCGGGGGCCTTCACCCTCAAACCCTCCCACCCTGACCCCCAGGAAGCCCCGCCTCCCCGCCTGGTACCTGTTGCCCCCCAGCGAGTCCTGCAGGAGCCGCGTGAGCTTGGAGTCCCTGTAGGGCACGTGCACCACCTTCTTGCTCTGGTCCCCCAGGGCGCTGATCACATTGCCCAAGGCCAACTGCGAAGGCAGACCCGGCGCTGGAGGGGGGCCAGGGAGGGACCGCCCGGACCCCAGGCCACCTGCACCGACCCCCGACCCCACCCCCACCCCCTGCCGCCCGCCCGGCGCCTACCAGGCCGCAGTTGATGGAGATGCCCTCCTTTGCCCGCTCGCCCGTGGCCCCCGTCCGCTTCAGCCGCTCGGAGCCCGCCAGGTCCACGAAGTGAAACTTGGCCGTGAGGGTCTCGTACTCCCTGGGGGGCGCCGCGCCCTCAGGAAGCCCGGTCACCCCCTCGTGCACCTGCAGAAGGCGGGAGGCGGCCGCTGACTCGGGGTCCCGCATGGGCGTGGCTCCTGCCTCCTCCACCCTCCAAGCTGCCGCCCCCCACCCCCTTCCCGCCGGGGCCCGGGGGTCCTCACCGGGTCGGGCTGGGTGCAGACGCGCATCTGGCACAGGTGGATGGTGAAGATGGCGTGGGAACGGGAGCTCTGCACGTTCATCTGGGTGCTGGCCGTGGTGCGCGACAGGGCGCCCTGCCTCAGGCACTGGATCAGCTGGGAGGGAGGCGGCGGTCAGGCCACCCCCCCATGGCCACCCCGCCTGCCCCGACCCTGACCCCTGACCCCGGGGCACGCCCACCTCCTCCTGGGAGCTGATGAGGCGGGACGTGACGCCCGTGGTGTAGATGCCGCCGTTGGCGTCCTCATGGATCTTGATGTTGGACCGGCGGTGACGGGCGTCAGGGTCCCGGGTGGCGTCGAAGAGGTCCAGGATCTCCTCGTTGTAGAGCTAAGCAAGGAGGGGGAGGGGGGGACGGCGGCTGGGCTCACATCTATAGACCAGCTCCATTCTGCAGATGGGGAAACTGAGGCCCTGGGAGGTTCCCGGGCCGAGCCTGTCCCTCAAGTTCTGGGTTCCACGGCCTTTGGCCTGGACAGGGGTGGGGGCGGCGGGGCCCTCCCGCGGCTGCTCCCCCTGGGAACCAGGCTTCGGCAGGCCCGGCAGGAGGCCGGGAACCAGCGCCAAGGGGACTCGGGTTCTAGGTCCAGATACAGACACGACCAGGATCTGGGCAAGTCCTGTGATGTCGCTGCCTGGGAAGGACGGGATGGGGGGGCGCTCCCCGATTTGGGGGGAAGCAGAGCTCAGTGGGGGTGGTCCCTAAGGGGCCTGGTGGTGATGACGTCACAGCGGGGCAGGGACACGCCTGTGTGCCCAACATGCAGGAGCGAACATGGCCCAGCCATGTGGGGAGACCGTCACGGGAGGGGGCCTGGCCGGGAGCGGTCACCCCACTTCAGAGGGCCTGGGCCTCGGACATCCCTGCGTTTGGAATTGCTGGCCCAGGACGAGGCGGGGGGGAGGGGGTGTGGCTGGGGAGGGGAAAGGGAGCAGAATCCTGCAGGGGGAGGGGCGGCTGCAGGCCTCACACAGCTGAGGGGTTGGTGGCCTTAAAGGACAGAAATACCGACGGGAAGGGGGAGAGGAAACGGAAGGGGGACTGGGTGCCACGGTGTCTGTCCGTCTGTGTGTCCGTCGGGACAGACAGGGCACCATTTAACCCCTCCCGGTTCACCCTGGACCTGGGATTTTGCAGGAGTCGGAGTGAGGCAGGCGCCTTCCGGAGCCTTTCCTTCCGGGGGTCAGAGGGGACTCAGAGGGTCAGGAAGGACCTCAGCCAGAATGGACAGGGCCCGGGGCCGGGGAGGCCGAAGGAGGGGCGAGAGCCACGGTCCTCAAGCCCCACCAGACGCAGGAAATCCCTTCGCGTGTCCCACCCTGCGGCCTTCCAGCTCTCGCTTGGATGCTCCCAGCAGCGGGGAGCTCATCCCCTGAAGATGCCTGCGTGGCTCCCGCGGCTCATTCCTCTGCCCCGGAGGAGAGCCCAGCTCCCGTGCACGGTCTTGCGGCCCCCGTGTCCCCCACCTGCCCACCCCGCGAGGCCGCAGTACCTCCAGGAACTGGGCGCTGACTTTGAACTCGGGCCCGGCCACGCCCTGCTCCTGTGCCCGCCGCTTGCGCTCGGCGATGCCCCCAAAGAGGTGCGCGATGGCCCTGGGGATGATGCCCTGCTCCTCCTCCGTCGCCGCCGTGTCGAAGCCGGTGCCCATGGTGTACGTCTTCCCGGCCCCCGTCTGCATGGCAAAGACCCAAGGAGGGGTGAGCCGGCACCCCAACTCCCCCGCCCGCACCCCGTGGCAGTCCCTCCGGCTGAGAGCCCGCCCCTCTGTGGCATCCTGGGACGACTCGCGCTCCTGGTCCCGGCTGGTTCTGGGTTCCACAGACCCAGCTGCCTGGAGGCGGAGCTCTCGCCCGTCGCCAGCCGGTGAGGCTGGCGTGGCCGCGGTGGGTGCGCGGTGGGCTCACCTGCCCGTAGGCCAGCACCGTGGCATTGTAGCCCTCGAAGCAGCCCTCGATGAGCCTGCGCACGCAGGTGGCGTACACGTGCTCCTGCCAGGCGTCCAGGTCGAAGACAAAGTCGTAGGTGAAGGCCTTGTCCTTCCCCAGGAGCACCTGGGGCTCCCCCGGGGTGACGGAGGTGCAGATGTGACATCCCTCAATCTTCTCCTTGGGCAGCTGCGGCCGGATCCTGCCGGGAGCGGGAGCCCCGGTCAGCCCTCCGCCCGGTCTCCCCCCTGCACTTCCACTCCCCAGCCCCCCCTAGCGCCCCCCAGCACCCCCGGCTGGAGGAGAGGGGAGGGAGTTTAGGTGCACTCGTTCCCCCTCCGCCATCGCTCCCCCAGGCAGAGGACAGAGGCAGCTTCTGTAAAAGTAAAATAATAAATCCGCCCGGCGGGGCTCGGTGGCTGAGCGTCGACCTAGGAACCAGGAGGTCAGGGTTCGGTGAATCCCTCCCGTCAGCCCGGCCTGACAGGCGAGACTGGGGCGGAGGGGTTTCCATGACTGGGCCCAGGCTGAGCAATGGGAGGTGACAGCCCCCCCCCCCCCCGCCCTTGCCGGGCTGACACGAGCACGCACTCCTGCCTCCATGGGGAGCCCCCGGCAAAGCAGGGAGCTGGGTGGGGACGGAGGGACAAGCCTGGCCGCTCCCGGGGCTCCGTTCTGGAGGAGACCAGAGCCTCGCCGAGGCCTGGGGGGCCGGAGCACCTCCAGCTCAGACGCCCCCCTCCCCGAGGCAGGGCCTGGCGGACATTCTTGGGAAGCAGCTCTGGTTTCTCTCCCAGCATCCCCCCCACCCCCCCTTGCAGCATCGAGCAAGGCCAAGTTCGCTGAGGAGGGTGGGGACCTGTAGCAGGAACCCCAGACCAGCCACAGGGGGGCCCCACAGCCCAGATCCCGGTGGGGGGCGAGAAGGGTTCCCTTGCAAAAAGGAAGAAAAGTGTCATCAGTTTGAGGGGGGCGCTAGGCATGGACGGGGCTACCTCCATCCCTCAGCTGCTTCCCCCCTCCTCCAAGCAGCCGTTGCCATGACGACGTCACCATGGCAACCAGATGTGAGTCAGTGAGCATGTGCGGAGGGATTGGCAGAAAGCACCTCCCAAAATGCCTAAAGCGAAAGGGGGTGGGGTGGGCGCGAATGCCCCCGGGCTCCCCCGCACAAGCCAGCCCTTGGCTGCCAGCTGGGCCCTCACAATGAGCTGCTTGTCAGGCCCGGCTCCCTAAGCCAACATTTACCCGGAGAAGAAGAGAGAGAGAGGTCGGGGCCAGCACCCACCCGGGGCCGGGGGCGCCGGCCACCACCACTGAGCCAGGGCCTCCCGCCCCCCTGCCCCTGCCCCGGGCTGGCCCTGGCCCTGGGCTGTCTGGGAGCTGCAGGCCTGAGCTCACCTGAGCCCATCTGAGCCTGAACCCCGCTCCGCGCTGCGAGGGCCGGGGAGGGCCTGGCAGGTGCTCCGGGCCCAGAGCTCCCACAGACGGTGGCCTGGGGTCATATATATAAAATATTTTATTGATTTCAGAGAGGAAGGGAGAGGAAGAGAGAGACAGAAACATCAATGATGAAAGGGAATCATTGATTGGCTGCCTCCTGCACGCCCCCTGCTGGGGACTGAGCCCGAAACCCGGGCATGTGCCCTTGACCGGAATTGAACCCGGGACCCTTGAGTCCGCAGGCTGACGCTAACTGGCTAAGGCTATATATATATATATATATATATATATTGATTTCAGAGAGGAAGGACGAGAGAGATGGAAACACCAATGATGAGAATCATGGGACGGCCGCCTCCTGCACGCCCCGTACTGGGGACCGAACCCGCAACCCAGGCATGTGCCCTGACGGGGAATCGAACCGTGACCTCCTGGTTCCTAGGTGGATGCTCAACCACTGAGCCATTCCGGCAGTGTGTTTGCGAATCTTAAGTGACGCCGCTTTACTGTGTGGCCAAGGGCAGGGCTCAGCGTGCGGAGGGGAACGGGGTGCCGTGGCCTCGGAGCCACAGTGACCTGTGCAGGCTGTGGTGCCGGGCACAGGCACCGGGCAGGCCCTGAGCTCTGGGCCTCGGGACTCAATGTTCCCCGCCCACGGCGCCCAGGTGCGCCAGGTGCATGGGGTCAGGCCTGGGCAGCTTTGCCGGTTGGACCAGCTCCCACAGACGCCCGCCCGGCCCCGTGGGCCGCTTTCGATGGGATTTCTGGATCCAATTCAAACACCATTTAATTACCCCAGGCAGATGGCCATGCTGGCGATTGGAGGAAATCGAATCAGGGCCCCTCGAGGCCGGGGTGGTGGGGCGCAGGGGGTGGGCAGAGGGACGGCTGCTGCCCTGCCCATCAGAGCCCATCAGAGCCCGTGGGGAGGCGAACAGTCCTTCACCAGCAGCCCCGAGGCCACGGGGACCCCGCCTGCCGGGAACAGGAGAGCCGGCCCGCAGGGGACAGTGACGAGGGGGCGCCGGGATGTTAGGGCCCGGGAGTTGCGGGTCCCCTTAGGCATTCACCCCGGGACCCTCGGTGGGCCCAGCCACCTCCTGTGGGGTCCTCTGTGGTCAGAGAGGCCCCACACCAGCCCATTCTCAGCACCAGGGGGCTTTGCGGGGCACAGGAGGGTGAGGGTGGTGCCCAGAGAAAGGGGCGCGGCCGGGAGGCTGCGGCCACGGCCACGTGTGTCACTAGTTTCCCCGAGCAGCTGAGCAGGATGCGGGAGAGCGCGGTGCCAGGAGTGGGACGCGGAGGAGTGACTGGAGACGGAGGCGGAAGAGAAGGGAGATTCTCTTAAGTAAGAGATGCTCTGAGCAAGGGGTTTCTCAGCCCGTTCTCCAGGGAGCATGGGCACCAGTTCCGTGGGGGTCCCACGGCAGCCACAGGCCGAGGATCCAATTCAAACACCGTTTAATCACCGAGGAGTGTGGGCCAGATCCAGGGCCGGGGTGAGGAGGGGGAGCACAATTTAAGGTGCATGAAAAACGCAGTGGTTGAGCGCCGACCTGTGAACCAGGAGGTCAGGGTTCGATTCCTGATCCAGGCACAGGCCGGGGTTGCGGGCTCCATCCCCAGTGTGGGGTGTGCAGGAGGCAGCCGGTCCATGGCTCTCTCTCATCATGGATGTTTCTCTCTCTCTCTGTCCCTCTCCCTTCCTCTCTGAGATCAATAAAAACACACATTTAAAGAAAACCTCCATCCTCAAGGTAAATTACGATTTAACGCAATGTGTGCGAAAGTCCCACTGGCTCACTGCGGCCCGCGGGTCTGCTCCCGGCCTTTGTCAGTAACGTTTTGGGGACCGAACGCCCATCTTCGTGCAAGGACTTCGGGGATCTGCCCCTCGGGCATCTTCCCCGAGCCCCACGCCTCCCCTCCGGGGCCTCCATCCTGCAGGGAGGCCGCCTGACCCCTGCTCAGCGAGGCCTGGAACCTCCCAGAACAGAGCGAGGTCTATTCCCCGCTTGGCAGGGGCCGCCCAGCACGGCGGGAGCGGGGAGAAAGGGCCGAGCTTTTCAGAGGCAGGACTTGGCACGGGCGGGCGGGCATGGGCACCGGCACCGGCTTCCCCAGCTAGCAGCTGAGCCGGAGCTGGGCGCTGAGGGTGTGATTGGCAGATCCCTCCCCCACCGAGAAGTGAGCCCGGGCCGCGGGGACCAGACCGCACGCAGGGCCCACCCCCAGCTCGGAGCCGAAGAAAAGCTGAGCTCAGCGGTTCCTCAGACCTCGGGGAGCCAGGCGGACAGGGCAGGAGGGGAGGACAGAGGAGAGAGGGAGGACAGAGGCGGGAGGAGGCGGCCGGGGACGCACAGACACTGCCAAGGAGAAAAGGGTGCCCCGGACCCCCACCAGGCTCCATGGCAGGAGGGGGGGGGATGGGGCCAGCTCGCCGCACGCCCACCCCATCCTTAGTGACAACACGCAGCCAGCCAGTCGCGGCCCCCCAGGCTCCGCCCGGTGACCGTGGGGTCCTGGGGGCTTGCTCAGCTTTTAAGGGGAAATTCGTTCCACCCAATCCGCTGGCCAGGCCCCCCTCCTTTGTCTTCTAAGCGACCTGCCCCCCCATCTTGACCTTGAGCTCCTCAGGGTGCAGCCAACTGCCAGGTGACGGCTGTGATATTACAACAAGGAACTCGGGGCACGATGGAGGTCAGCTTCGTTCCCGGCCCTTTTCTCTGCAGGCCCCAGAGCTTCCTCCACTCCCCCCGTGGCTGAGCCCGCCACACCCAGGGGGAAATTAAGTAACTGGGTTCAAGGCCACATGGAGACAGAGTAACACGGTCCCAAGGCAGACCACCTTGACCAGCCCTCCGCCCTGACCCAGCCCAGGAGGAGAGCTGGGAGCACCCGTGGCTGGAGCGGTGGCGGCCTGCGGACTGAAGGGTCCCGGGTTCGATGCCGGTCAAGGGCACGGGCCTCGGCTGCAGGTCTGGGGCAGGCGGGAGGCAACCAATCGATGTTTCTCTCTCACATCCGTGTTTCTCTCTGTCTCTCTCCCATCCACTCTCTAAAAATCAATGGAGAAATATCCTTTGGGTGAGAATGAAAAAGAACCGAGATCTGGGCTGGCACCACCTCTCAGGAGGCCCAAATCACCACCGAGACCAGCGGTTCTCCACCTTCCGGCCCTTTCAATACAGTTCCTCACGTGGTGACCCAACCATACAATTATTTCCGTGGCTACTTCGTCACTGTCATGTGGCTACTGTGATGAATCGTCATGTAAATATCTGATCTGCAGGATGGTCTTAGGCGACCCCCGTGAAAGGGTCGTTCGACCGCCAAAGGGGTCGCGACCCACGGGTTGAGAACTGCTGACCGAGACCCTCAGGAGAAGCTGTGGGGACTTGGGGGGTAGAAGCCCGTCTGTTCTCTTCTCCTGTGGGACTCCGAATACCTGTCTGAGTCCTGAATTGGAGCCCCGAAGGCCAGTGGGCCGGCCGGCCCAGGAGGGACAGGGAAGTGAGAGGCGCATCCATCGCCCCGTCGCTGGGCGAGCGGCCTTGGAGTCCGAGGGACCGAGCAAAGGTTGCCTCGACGCCCGGCCTCCCCGCCCGGCCTACAGGCAGCCGGTTGACGCTCTTTCGTGAAGGTGTGTGTGCGTGTGTGTATGTGTGTGTGTGTGTATGTGCGTGTGTGTGTGTGTGTGCGTGTGCACGTGGCAGGGACATGGCACGGCCCGTGACCTCGGGTCTGCCTGGCTCTCTG